TTACCTAGAAAAAAATATCAAAATGTGGTAATGTGACTTTTTCATCATGTAGAGGTCCTTCAGAAACAAATTTTTTTTTTTTAGTTGAAACATTTTACATAATTATTTCCCCAGCAGGCTTTAATCTCCTCTTGATAGTAAGAGGCTTCACGTAATCTGCCTTAAAACTCTCTCTTCCAGCATTCGGGTGTCCACCTGGAACAGACTGAACTACCTAAAAAATGGTGTGCTGAAGTCTGCCTTAAAATCTGCCATGGCCCATGACCCCATCGCCCCCGTGCTGTCCGAGCCTCACCTGGACGCCGCGGACCAGCGGCTCCTGAGCGTCCTGGCCACCGTGAAGCAGTGCACTGACCAGTTCGGGGCGGACGCCGTGCTGGTAGAAGACAGGATGCCTCTCTCCCACTTGTAATCCGCACCGCAGGATAAGCGAGACTCCTTTTTTACAAAGCGAGAGAAACAGCACAATCACTTCCGAACGGTCTGGGGTGGATGGGAAACGGCCAGCAGCAAGCTCTGGTGACGGGGGCAGGGTGGCCTTGGATGCCTTTGGCGATTTCTCTAGGAGAAATGAAAGCAAAGACTACAGGTGTCCGAGCCCAGGAGTGTTGCTGCTGAACCACCCGGCGTCCCCGGCCTCGGCCCCTCCAGCAACGGGCCTCCTGGCTACTCTGGCCTCCCTCGCACGCCACAGGACAGACAGAGGTGTGACGTTTGGCTAGGCTAATGCTGGGATTGGTTCTGGAGTGTGTAGTTTGAGTTAATCCCTAGAATCCTTTCTCCACCCCTGTGGAGTTTCTGAAAACACTTGGCCATCTCTGGAGTCCTTTTTTCACCGGGACTAGTCCAACTGGGAATTTGACAGCCTCCTGAGGAGGCACAGCCAGGAAAACCTGGCCTTCTCTTGAGCCAGAATAGCATGCTCTGTGGGAGGGGATACGTGTTTGGGATAGAATTAGTGGGAAAGACAAACGCAGGGAAGATGCTTGGGCTTTTAAGCGATTGGCTGGTAGTGCTTTTCGTGATCTCTTAGAGGAGGGAGGAAGAGACGGCACCGGAAGCGGGGGTGGGGGGACGGGGACGGTATTTGAGTTCTGCGGGTGTGGAAAAGCAAACATGACTGGAACCTCAGATCTGCGTGCTCACAGCTGTGTCCCAGTTAGCCCCCAAACTGTCCAAGCAGGATTCACTCATGGAGACTTTTCTTTCTCCTTTTTGCCCAAAGCAGGCAAATCCTTTCTGAATTAACAAAGCAAACTGAGCTAATAACCCCTTGAATGAGAGTTAAGTTGCCTGCGATCTCTGCCATCCTGATTTCTCATCTGAAATGAATTTCCACCTCAGCCTTTAAGGCATTTGGTCACTGAAGCTGCTCTTCCCAAGAGATTGGCGGTCCTGTCTGTCCCTTTCTCGTGGGAAAAGCCAGCTCCCTGGCTCGGCCGACCGCGCGTGTTCTGCTGGCGGCTGGGCCTGTCTTGTGATGTGGGCCATGCCGACGACTGGGAACAGCGTTGAAGCTCTCAGAGCCTCAAAATGAAGGAGGTTACCAGGAAGAGCCTTAAGATTTTGATTTGTGTCAAGCCCTCATTTCCTTGTTTAATTTCGTCGGGCGTTTGGAGGCGGTGGTGGAGCACCAGTGTCCCTGTCCCGGGCGACAGAATCCCAGGCTCAGCTCGGTCTGTGTTCCAGCGGAGCGTCTCGGACCTGTGAGCCATCGCAGCCTGCCTGGCGGCCAGGCCAGCCTTGCACTTCTGTCGAGCAGGGGCTGCTATTTAAACAGTGTGGGGGAGCAAACTACTATCTAGCAAACAGCCTAGAGTCTGTGTCCTCATTTTCTCGCGTTGAAAGACAGCTAAGTAACCTGTAACTAAACAGCACAAGGTCAGGACGCTTTTGTACTTTGTATGTACATTTTGAGACATCCACAAGAATGGGTTGAGTTGTAAAAGAAGGTATTGAACCTAACTAAGAAGCCAGGTATTAGCACTAAATACTGAAACAGTGTTAACAAAAGGAGGCCTTAGATTCCAATTTTAAGGCCATTTCCTGTGTGCGTCAAGTAAAATTCCCAGTTGAGCTGGAGAATACCGTGGATGGTGCTCTCGCAGAGCGTCGGGGAGCTGGCTGGAGGGAGACGGTGGGCAGGAGGCAGCGCGCTCGCCTGGGTGAATGTTGGTTCAACTAAATGATGGACCAATGTTCTTGAGACACGGGGCGCCTGTAGTCTGCTGTAGCGGAATGAGTAAGAATTGTTACCCAACTGGGAGCTTCATTCATAATGTTGAAGGCAGAAGATATTGCTAAGGAAGCAAGCAGGAGGGAATGTTGCATCGTTTTTTCAAAACACTGCAGAAAATGCATAATTTCATTCTCTTTCCTACTGTTTTAAAATTCTTGATCTTAAGAGGTGTTCAGATCTATTGAGGTTGAAGTCTTAAGCTAATAGGGTGGTGTCACAGGACTCTTGGAACATAGCTTTATGTTCTCATCAGGATTGGATTAAGTTAAGTTTAGGCAAATCTTAGAGAAAACCAACCAAAAGCTTATAGCCATGAAATGCACAAAAACCAAATTCTGTTTGAAAAACAGAGACTGTTATCTTTTTTTTTTTTTTTTTTTAGTTTTGTCACCGTGTCCTCTTTGTGGTTTCTTTAGCACTAATAGACAAGTCACTAGAAGGGTTCCTGGGCAGCCCTAGGTTGGGTGTGCCTAGCCAACATCTAAAGGTAGAGGTGGATACATTTTATATTTTCCAGCTAGGAAAATCAGAACTGACTGCCATTTCCTTACCTCCTCCACTCCTTAAATACGTTTATTCCAGAGTTTGAGTGGGGAAATATGGGTATAGAAGTTTTATTCTAAATTGTTCTTTTAATATGAGGCTATATTGTGGGTTTGGGTGTAAATAATTTTCTGTGCAAAACAAATTAATAGGATCTGTGATTTGCTCAGAGTGTTGTTCGATAATATATTAATAAGGCATTTCTCCCTGTTGCACTCAGGACTAATATATCAAATGAAATTTAAGGAGGAATTGGAAGAATTCAGGTACATCCATTGCATATTATTTGGGGAAAGATGAATCCTGTACATGGCAATTTTTCAGTGTCACCTGAACAAGTTCTTCCAAGGAAATTCGTGTTTTCTTTTCCATAAAAAAAAAAGAAAGAAAGAAAGAAAGGCTTTTGGCTTTTCCTTCTCATCCACCATATTCCTTCAGCGTCCATTCTCAGTGGCCCCTGTATCATCTCATTTGACTGTAAATGACCACACCTCAGTGGCGATAAAACCGCATCTGTCAGTGAGCTGTCCTATAGGCGTGATCTTGTGAGCTTGAGCTTCAGGAAACATGAGTAAAGGCATATATGTATGTATATAGTCGTATCTGTATTGTAGCAAGAAAAAAATGTATTTATTTTGACACAGGAAAACACTGACTTATGTTGCTGAAGAACTTGAAACTAGTGAAAGGGTCACTCCTCAGTCTCTGCGAGTGGCCCCGACGTGACATAAAAGACCATTCAGCCGGCACCTGCTGGGCAGCTCTGGTGAGCCGGCGGTGGCTAGGCACCCACGGGAGCCAGACACACCTGACTTCGTGCAGCCTGTCGTCCAGGGGAAGGCCAGTTTCTCTCCCTTCGATGCCTCCAGTCTGGGTTGAAAAGGCAGGGGCTGGGGATGCCACTGCCACAGGTTTTTAAAGGAACTAAGGTGTTACTCGCAAATACAAAGCCTAAGGGGGGGAGCTGGGAATAACTTACTGGGAAGCTAATTTATTTGCTTAAAAGGGAGGTGTAGGAACCACTACCCTCTGTTTTGATCTGCCAAGGATTTCGTCTCAGCCCTGCCACGTGGCGGGGAATTGGGCTTGGTAAGACACCATACAGGACAGATACGCACCGAAATTTCTAATGTGTTCTATGGGTTTCAATTCTGAAAAAAAAAAAAAAATGAATAAAGATTTTAGTAAGTATCGATGTATCGTCTTTTACTCCTTTTTTCCCCTTTGAAGCTATTTTCAGTGTTCTCTATTCCAACTTCCTGTCTGTTTTGTTAGGGGACAGAAAAAGATGACCCCTTCTCCCACTTCAGCCTTCACAGGGACTGTTCCATATTATTTGCTCCTGGACGAAACCAGTGCTGCTTGTCCCTGGAGCACGCTCGAGTGGCATGCAGATGGGTTTGCTTGCTAAGGAATCATGGCGGCCTGTAGTTTTCAAAACAGCCTCTAGATGTCCCCATCGTCCACGAGATCTCGCTCCTAGACTCCGAACCAACTGCCTTCAAGCCCCGAGAATGAAATGTTGGCAGTTTATTGAAACCAGAGACTTGTCTAAAAACTGGTGTTTGGATCCATTGTTTCTGTGTGGAACTGACAACAGTGAAAAAAAAATGTCTCCCTTTACTTTTAGGAAAAAATGTCATCTTGAAATCGAGACGTTTGTCCAAGAACTTTCCAGCTATCTATTTACCACTAAGTGCTAAATTCAAACCAGAACACTGCAGAAATTAGCAGTTAGTCCTACATGAAAGTTAAAAGTAGAGACAGTGTTATTTTCACAGTCCTAAAACTTGGGTTTTTAAAAGAAACTAGTGTTACTACTGGTAATTTTATCACCATAAATTCACTTGTAAACATCACCACTATAAAATCATCCAAGCCTCCTGTGTAGACCATCCAGAGCCTCACCCAGGGTGGGGCATATATTAATAATAATAAAAGTCGGAGCGCCTGGGTGGCTCAGTCGTTAGGCGTCTGCCTTCGGCTCGGGTCATGATCCCAGGGTCCTGGGATCGAGCCCCGCATCGGGCTCCCTGCTCGGCGGGAAGCCTGCTTCTCCCTCTCCCACTCCCCCTGCTTGTGTTCCCTCTCTCACTGTGTCTCTCTCTGTCAAATAAAATCTTAAAAAAAATAAATAAATAATAATAATAATAATAAAAGTCAGCATGTAACTGAATGAGCCCCTGAACCCTCAGAGCCTGCCGTCAAGTGACTTTTATTCTGCCATTTGATAGGTGGGGAATCAGGCCTAGGGCAAATAATACCCGAGGTGACACATAGAAAACGGCAGGGGCCATACTGGGGTGCCATTCTCGCTCATTTCGCTGGCTGAGTTCGTTTTCAATTTCCAGATGAGCAGAAGGGCGGGTTCCTCGTTAGCGGCCCGCGGAAGCTCTCCGGGGCTCGACAGCGCTCGCAGCAGGAACACTCTGTGCGGCTTCCGCGCTGCCGGCACTCGGAGGGGCGGAGACACGCCGTCCGCACACCCCTACGCCGTCCGCAGTCTGCGGCGGGGCCCCAGAGGCGCGCGGCGGGGCCCGGGTGCTGCCCGAGCGCGCGGCAGGGCGGGTGTGGCGAGCGGCGGAGGGCAGAGCGGGCCTGAGTGTGATCTGGGGGGCTGGGCCATCGTGAGCTGGCCCTGCGACGCCCCTAACTGTCCGCAGAACCCAGCCGCGAAGCCACGGAGCCTGTGCCGTCAGTCAAGTCCCACGACCTCTAGACAGCACTTTGTTCCAAGGACAAGAGGGCCCCGTCAGGCCAGTGGCTTCAGTCACTCCGGGCGTTTTGAAAAATGCATCAAGCTCTTCTGAAACGCGACAGGCCCGTGGCAGGCTCATGCTGTGGAGAAGGGGTCCCAGGGGAGAGGCGCCCTCAGGTCTTGCCTGTGGTATCTGAGGAGCGTCTCAATGTCACCGGCGCTTCAGAGCGGCAAGCGTAGCCGAGAGAGCGCACACAGCATCAGCCGAACTTCCTTCCGTGACGCTCCCCGTTTCCAGAGGCCGAGCTCTCCAGCCTGGAGCCTTCGGGCGTCCACCGGCCCCGGCGGACTCCCAGCCGTGGAAACCCGGGGCTGCCCGCAGCGGTTTCACTTCCCGGGGTGGCGGCGCCAGGCCCCGTGTGGCTCCCCGCCCCGCCCCCAGGGCCTCTCTCCACGCGGCGCCCGGTGACACGCCGCCCGCGCCGGCCCGGGGCTGATCTGCCGCCAGGGGCAGGGCATAACCGGGGGCCCCTGTTGGGTCGGCGTCGGACGGGCCCCGGGGCTGCCGAAGGGTCTCCCCGGGTGGCTGGCGGTGACCTTTCCGAGGCCTGACTGCACCTCCTCGGCGACCGCGGGCTCCCGGGCCAGCGCGCGGCCGGAAGCGAGCCCCGGCGGTGGGCGGCGCCTGCGGGCGGCCTCGGGGTGCGCTCGGGCCGCCGGCCTGGGCCTCGGTTCCCGCGGCCGCGCCCGCCGCCGGCCGGGCACTACCGGGAGCGGGGCGGCGGGAGAGAGCCATGCGGCGCCTGCGCCCGCTGCTGCTGCTGCTGCTGCTGCTCCTGCCGCGGCCGGGCGCCCCGGGACCCGGCGACGACGCGAGCCCGCCCGACGCGGCCCAGGAGCCCCTCCGGGGCCTGCGCGAGCGGCTGCGGGCGGCCGCCGCCCTCTCCCGACGGTACTGGGCGCTCCTGCGCTGCCGCGTGTGGCCCGAGGACTGTGAGCGCGCCGAGGAGGCCGGCGCGGGGCTCCTGGGTAAGAGCGGCCGCCCGGGCTCCTCCGGCCGCGGCCCCGGGGGCTTGGGGGGGCAGGCGGGGGGCCGGGACGTGCGCTGGCCGGGGGAAGCCGGGCGCCGCTGTCCCAGCCGCCGGGCCGCGGCCACCAGGCAGGCGCCCTGGCTGCCCGCCCTACCGCCCCAACAGGCCTCGGCCCAGGCGGCGGGCAGGGGCGCCTCTGGGGACCGGGCCGCCTCCCGGCCTGTATCCATCACAAGACCATCTCCTTCCCCCGGGTGCCCGGCCCTCGGCGCCCGTCCTTGACCCCTCCAGACAGCTCACACTTCCTTGAGTCTGCCAGCCCACCTGGCATTATTCCATGGAGCTGCTCTTTCCCGCCTTCTGGGCTTTAGGCAAAGTCCCCGGCTGGACACCCGTGTTCTGGTTCCCGCTCCGTCAGTGACAAATCTGGCAAGGACCAGGTGCTCTCTGAGGCTCCTTGCGGTCTGTGGAGATAATTCTAGGCCCCTAATGCAATTCTGATGGCAATCCTACAATGGTGCTGTAAACGTCTTTCATTTAAATCAGAAGATTTCTAGGTCCCAGTGGCTGGGCTCTGGTTGGTTGTGTTTCTGCTAGTGCTGCCAATGTTCAAATTGACACCTGACAAAAGAATTGAGAGGCCCTTGGGGTTGGCTGGGATCACACCATTTTGGAATTCACAGCAAGTAGGCAGAATGATCATCACCAGCGGCTGCTGGTCTCCCTGCCAGACTGCAAACTCCTTGTGGGCAGCTCTGGGTTTCTTACGCTCCTGGCACACGGTGCTTAAGGCATATATGTTGAGCAAATTGAACCTTTGCTGGATCTGTATCTGTAACAAGGCCATCGACTTCCTCCAAGCTGGGGGCGCCCCCTCCTGCTCATTCCCTGGCCAGGCGCAAGGAAGGCCCAGGGAAGAGCAGTGAGGAGCAGCCCTGGAGGGAGGACCCAGGACAGGAAGAACTGCTCCGCTTCGTTGCGGGGAGACAGTGTCCACCTTCCCCGTGGCCCTGGGTTCTGTCCCTGTCTCACAGCTCCCCCTTTTCCAGGCTGGAGCCTTCCCCTGTTGGGCCAGCAGTATCTGGACATCCTGACCTCGTGGTACTGCAGCTTCCAAGCCTGCTGCGACAGCGGGGACTGCAGGATCTCCAACAACTTCACAGGTGGCACCTTGCATGGCCCTGAGGGGCTGGGGATCTGTGGGGAGGAGAGGCAGTCCGGGGGCAATGCAAGGCACCCTTCATCGTCCTGCCCCCAGCTGACAGCACGCCCTCCCTGTCTCCGCCATGGCTCCCAGAGCCCCTGTCTCCACGCCCTGTAACCTCATGGCTGGAAGGAAGGCCTCACAGAGGACTCTGAACACACTAGCTGCCCTCAACAAGTGTTTGCTGAATTGAATTTATTCATGTGAGGGAGTCTCCATAAAGCACCTAGGGGTTCCGAAACCTCTGGGTGGGAGCAACCTCTTGGGCATGGGGGATGGGCTCCCTCCTCCAGACAGGATTCTGCCAACCATTCTCTTTTTTTCAAGATTATTTATTTGGGAAAGAGCGCGTGCACGCGGGTGGGGGGAGGGCCAGAGGGAGAAGCAGGCTCCCCGCTGAGCCAGGAGCCCGATGTGGGGCTCGATCCCAGGGCCCTGAGATCATGACCTGAGCCAAAGGCAGCCGCTTAACCGACTGAGCCACCCAGGCGCCCTCTGCCAACCGTTCTGGGGTGTCTTCAGGACCTTCAGAAAGGGTGATTCCCTTCTGTCCCTACATTCGATCTTGATTTCTCAAGCTTTTCGAAAGTAGCCCTTGCATCCCTTTGGGCTGCAAGGTCTGCCCAGCCGTGTCTTATTCTGAGGCCAGGCAGCCTGGATAGGTGATCCCCCCCTCCCCCAGCTCAGAGATGTTCAGAGGTGCTCTGTCTCCTGGCCGTCGCTGAGCCTGGTGGGGACCCCACCTGTGCCACCCCACCATGGCCGCCTCTTTCCTGCTCCTAGGCCTGGAATGGGACCTGAGTGTGCGACTGCACGGCCAGCATCTGGCCCGGGAGCTGGTCCTGACGACGGTGAGGGGCTACTTAGAGCTGCCCCGGCCAGACAAGGCCCTGGCTCTGTCGTTCCACGGCTGGTCAGGCACAGGCAAGAACTTCGTGGCTCGGCTGCTGGCAGAGAACCTATACCGGGATGGGCTGCGGAGCGACTGTGTCGAGACGTTCATCGCCACCCTACACTTTCCTCACCCGAAGTATGTGGACCTGTACAAGGTGAGGCCAGGGGGTGCTCTGCCGGCAGGCCGGGCACAAGGCTTGGCCAACCTGAGCCGCAGGCTTCTGGGATGGGACGGACGCCCTGAAATCAGCCCTTCCCTGCAAGGAGGTGGCCTTGGAGAAGCCTGGGTGTGGGGGTTGGCGGCCCTGGTGACAGACCCTGTAACCCACAGAGACATCCACTCCACAGAGATACAGCCCTGAGCGTGTGGAGGAAAGATTCATATTCAAACACTGCGCGTCTTGAGCCCCGTCTCCTTATCAGCTGCCCACTGAGCTTAAACAGAGAATCCACGTGATAGTTGTCTGTTCCCGAAGTAGTGGTAATTGTGCAGGAAATGTGGAACAGACAAAAGCAAAAACTATCAGAATCTCCACACACAGACACAAGCACAGTCCGCATTTGGGTGTACTTCCTTCAGGTTTTACGTCATTGTGATTAACACTGGACAGAAAGTTTAGATGCTGCTTTTTGGGGAGGCTGCGCAAGAGGGAGAGAGAGAATCTTAAGCAGGCTCCACACCCAGCGTGGAGCCCGACGCAGGGCTCGATCTCACGACCCTGAGATCATGACCTGAGCCGAAATCAAGAGTCAGGCGCTTCACGGATTGAGCTACCCAGGCACCCATATCCTGCCTTTTTTTTTTTTAAGAGGCATATCATATAAGATTTTCCATGTCTTCCCCAAATCGCCAACAGGTAGGGAGACAAAAATTGTCCTTGCCGCTCTGCTCTTGGGTTTCTTCCATTCAGACATGTAGTATTTCAGATAAGCCAGACGATGGGCAAAACGCCATTGCAGCATGACAGAGATGACTACATGGTCTTTGGCTTTCGGTCCCCCTCTCTGCAGTGTGTTACCCTGGGAAGATGATATGAGGCTCCGAGCACAGAGCTGGCTGAGGTGCTGGAGGGCAGAGGCTGGGTGAAGCGCCCTGGGGGCGGGCGGCTGGTGGCTAGTCTGCCAGGCCTTCGCAGAAGGAACAAATGGGCTCTGTGGCAGAACTGCTGTGGATCTCCGCTTCCCCACTGTGAAAACAGACCTGTGCACGCTCTCTCTCCCTCTCTCTCTCTCACACACACACACACACACACATTAGGGTGACGGGGGGCCGAGGTCAGATCCAGGGAGGCCAGAGGTGGATGGAGTGGGGGCTCTGCTGACAGACCCGCGGGGCGCGGGAGCTGGCCCCCTTCCCCTGCTGTAGCTTGCAGAGGGCTTTCAACTCTCTGGCTGGGGGTGGGGCACCCCCGGGGGCCAGTTGGCTGAGTCCCGGACAGGTCCCACCCAGGCTTCTTCCCTGAGGTCTCAGCCTAGCCTGGGTACTAGTGAGCACCCGCTCGGGGGAGTTCAAGACGGGGCTGGGGCTGCCTGTGGGCCCTGAACCTGCTGTGCCCGCCTCCCCGATATTAGAGCCTGGCTCCTCCCCCCAGGGAGGCTGACTGGAGGTTGGTTCTGGGATGGGACCTCATCCTGGAGCGCGGGGAGCAGGGCGAAGCCTGGGGCCTGTTTCCAAGGCCAGGCCAGCCAGCTTCCTCTCCCCAAAGCCCAGGATGCATGAGAATCACCTGGGAAGCTCATCAGGGTGTGGGCCCTAGCCCCACCCCCACAGGTGTGGATCGGTAGTTGTGGGGCAGGACCCCAGGCGATCCTTTGCAGACGCCAAGCGTGGCCCTCAGGGCTGGAGGATGGGAACAGGCCTCCCTCTGCTCCCCAGCTCGCAACAGCTCCCTGTATTCCGTGCAGGAGAAGCTGGCAAGTCAGATCAAGGAGACGCAGGAGCGCTGCCCCCAGACCCTGTTCATTTTTGACGAGGCCGAGAAGCTACATCCGGGAATGCTGGAGGCCCTTAGGCCACACCTGGAACTCCAGGCTCCCGAGAACCACAGGGTCGAGTCCCCGAAAACCATCTTTCTTTTTCTCAGGTGAGGTCTGAGGAACAGTAGTTAGGAGGGCTGGGGGAGGGGAGGGAGGAGCCTCCGTCCAGGTGCCGCTTGGGCCGGGCTTGGGAGTCAGCCGACGGAGGGGGGTGCTTCCACGCTCCGCTGGGCTGCAGACCCTTCTCTGCACGGGAAACCGAGAGGAAACAGGAGCCTGGCTGCTTGGCTGGTAGCAGCGGTGCGGGGCCGTAGTCTCCCAGGTCCTGCCCTGATCTTACCGCTAAGGCTCCTGGAAGGACTCTGACTCCCACCCCTCGCCCCCCCCCCCCCCATCGCCGGCTCCTATCCCTCACCTATCCTCCCCTGCCCAGCACCCCCGTGGCTGTCTTAGGGCGGGGAGGCTCCCCTCCGACTCCCTAGAGCACACAGCCCCCTGGGGAGGGACCACTCACACACTAGGAATCCCCTCTTCGAAGGGCATTTTGGGGATTGCGGGCCTTTTTTGTTGACCTATAACAGACAGCATTAGTTCCAGGCGTGCACCATGATTCAGTATTTGTATATGCGCGTATTGCGAAATGATTGCAGTGAGTCTGGTTAACACCGGTCATCATACATGATTACACAGCTTTTTTCAAGATCTACTCTGGGCAGCTTTCAAATATGCGGTGCGGTGTTATTAACCCGGTCGCCACCACGCTGTACTCTGCGTCCCATGACTTACTCATTACTTAACGCCGCCGGCCTCGGGCAACCGGCCATCTGTTCCTGGTCTCTGAGCTTGGTTCCTTGTTGTTCTTGTTACTCTTTTAAGATTCCACGTATGAGCGTGGATCATAGGGATCATAGGGAATTTGTCTTTCTCTGCCTTATTTCATTTCACATGATGCCCTCAAGGTTGTTGTTGCAAATGACAAGATTTCATTATATTTTATGGAGTTTTATGAATAATACTCCACTATGTGTGTGTGTGTGTAGCGCATTTTTGTCATCCATCCGTCAGTGGGCACTTAGGTGGTTCCCATATTTTGGCTAGTGTAAATAATGCTGCAGTGAACATGGGGGCATGTATATCTTTTTTAATATTTTTGTTACTTTTGGATAAATCCCCAGAAGTGGAACGGCTGGATCATAGGGTAATTTTACCTTCAGCTTTCTGAGGAGCCTCCACAGTGTTTCCCACAGTGGCTGCACCAGTTACATTCCCACCCCCAGCGCACAAGGGTTTCCTTTCTTCCACATCCTCAATAACACTTGGTATTTCTGGTCTTTTTGGTTACAGCCATTTTCACAGATGTGAGGTGGTATCTCATTGTGGTTTTGATTTGCATTTCCCTGACAATCAGTGATGTTCAGCACATTTTCATCCACCTGTTGGCCATCTGTTTGCCTCCTTTGGAAAAATGTCTATTCAGATCCTCTACCCATTTTTAATCAGATTATTTTTTTGCTATTGAGTTGTATGAGCTCTTTATATTTTTTTATTTTAACCCTTATCAGATATATGAGTTACAAATATTTTCTCCCATTCAGTAGGTTGCCTTTTCATTTTGTTGGCTTCCTTTGCTATGCAGAACTTTTTAGCTTGATGTGGTCCCACTTGCTTATTTTTGCTTTTGATGTCAAATCCAAAAATTCATTGCCAAGACCGATGTCAGAGAGCTTACTACCTGTTTTCTTCTCAGAGTTTTAAGGTTTCAGGTCTCACATTTAAGTCTGATCCATTTTGAGTTAATTTTTGTGTACGGTGTGAGGTAGTGATCCAGTTTCATTTCTTTATATTTGACTGTTCAGTTTTCCCAACACCATTTATTGAAGAGACTGTCCTTTCCCCATTGTATATTCTTGGCTCCTTTGTCATAAATTGACCATATGTGCCTGGGTTTATTTCTGGGCTATTTTGTTCCACTGATCTATGTGTCTGTTTTTATGCCAATACCATACTGTTTTGAGTATTACAGCTTTGTAATATAGTTTGGAATATAATTCACATACTGTAAATCCCTTCTTAAAAGGGCATTAAGTTTTCAAAGCAGCACATTTGTTGAAAATTAAGTACAAACTATCCTCAAAAATTCCCAAGGTAGACTCAGTTGGAGGATGGTGTCCCATTAAGTCCAGTGTGGCTGGTTCTTTCTCCAGCCTTGGAAGGTCTGTTTCTTCTCTGATCACGAGAGGAGGTCACTGGCTCAAAATTCAGGGTATGATGTGTTGAATGAAAAGCTCATGCTTTCACACCTGTGCTGAGATCTGCACCCTGACCATGCAGGACTCATCCCTTGACCATTATACGACATGACCTGTTTTGTTTGCCTGTATACTCTGGAAATGGCTTTGTAAAAAGTGAATTGAGAAATCAGCTTGTCCAATCCTATCTTTTTTTTTTTTTTTTTAAGATTTTATTTATTTATATGAGAGAGAGAATGACATAGAGAGCATGAGAGGGGGGAGGGTCAGAGGGAGAAGCAGGCTCCTTGCCGAGCAGGGAGCCCGATGCGGGACTCGATCCCGGGACTCCAGGATCATGACCTGAGCCGAAGGCAGTCGCTTAACCAACTGAGCCACCCAGGCGCCCCAATCCTATCTTTTTTGTGGTGGCTCCAACTGGGAAGATCCTGCCCAACGTCTGTTAGAAGTCCAGTTTGGGTTCCGGTTGGCCCAACCCGAAATGCTTCACAAGCCACTTCTGAAACTCAGAGTGGAAGAATAACCCATTGCTCCCGCTCCCCAAACCCCCTTCTCCCGTCGGTAGGCCTGTACGTACTGGCTAGGGGCTTTTCTTCAGTTTTGCATGCTCCCTCTGAAGGTAGAGAAATAGGGAGTCTGGATTTTTATCCAGTTTGGAACGTGTGGAGGCAGATCTTGTGTCACTGTGGACCCACAAGACAAGCTGGAACCAGTTGAAACTTGCCCCGTTGGGATTTCAGTGTGGTGACAGCAAGCCCTTCCTGGTCTATGATTAAGGCTTATGGGACACAACAGTGCACTGTGGAGGGACGCAGCATGGGGAGGGGGGTGCTCCCAAGGGGATTTTATTTTATTTTTTAAATATTTTCTTAGAGCGAGAGAGAGCACAAGTGGGGTGAGAAGCAAGCTCCCTTAGACCCTTAATCTAAGCGACCCTGGTGCCCCCCAAGGTGATTTTGAAAGAAAAGCAGAGAAGCTGACCTGTCCCTGACTTGAGCTTTGGTCCCAGGGCGCTGCCTTTCCCTTTCAGTTTGCAGCTTGGAAAACCCCCACCCTTGCCGGTGCATTTCCTAATGTGACCCAGGTGACCTTGCGTCTCTAGGCAAATGTTTGCCTTTGTAGTATTTTGGTCATTGACCTGCGGGCAGTGCCCTAGTCCCCTTTAGCCCTGCCCTTTCCCCCAGTGACCTGGCCTCTGGGCACTGTCCGAGGCCAGGCGGTCACCAGGGAATGGACAGGAGGCTGGGGTGGCAGCTGGGCCTGGGGAGAGAGCCACCGGGGGGGAAAGCCGCCCCATGGGATCCACACTTGCTGGGGGATGGAGAGGCCGTGCCAGCTCTCCATGCGGAACCCCTGGGGAGGACGCACACCTGTGACAAGGCCTCGAGGGAGTGGTCTCCGGTTCCAGGGGCTCCGGCGCAGGCCTGGGCCCGGCCTAGGGAGTCCGTGGGGTTTGACAGGCCTGGGTGCGGGCTGACTGTGCAGCTCAGCGCCATCCCCACCCCTGCCCCCGGGTGCCCAGACAGCAGCACTTCTAAACCCTGAAGGTTTCCAGGTACAGATCTTCGTCAGTTTGCGGTGGGATTGTGTCCCAATAAGCTCATCGTAAGCTGAAAATGTATTTAGCACACCTAACCTACTGAACACTACAGCTCAGCCTCGCCTACTTTAAATGTGCTCACAACACACACATTAGCCTGCAGTTGGGCAAAATCATCCAACACAAAGCCCATCTTCTAACAGAGAGTAGACCGTCTCATGTAATTGGATGAATGGCGTACTGACAGGAAGAGCGTGGTTGTGCGGGTGCAGATGGTTTTAAGGGTGTCACTTGTCGACCCCTGTGATCGCGTGGCTGCTACCTAGCATCACGAGTCGGGATCGGACCGTGTGCTTCGCTAGCCCAGGAGAAGATCAAAATTCAAAGTGAGATTTCTCAATGCTTACTGCCTTTGTATCCTTGTCAAGTAGAAAAATCGTTAAGTCGGGGGCCGTCTGTATTCTAGGGATGGGCCGGGGAAGGCCGTATTTGAGTCTCTGGATTTGAGGTCTGCGGTGGCCTCACCCCCGTGCTGAGGGCTTCTGTGTTTGAAAGAAAAGCATGGCTGATTCGAGCTGTTGGTGGGAACAAGTCACATTCGTTGAAGGCCAGCAGTTTAATCCTGAAAAAACTCCTAAACATGCTTAAGTGAGGTGCTGGGGGGTTGCAGTCCTGCCCCGTGGTGGTGGCAGTCAGAGTAGGGGTGTCCTGGGCGCCAAGCTCGAGGGCCTCCACTAACGCCGAGGACTTTCACCTGTCTCTGCCATTCTAGAGAATGCTCCTGGAACGGGGTCGTGGAACTCTGGTCCTCTTCTTAGGGAAGCAGTCCGTGAAAGGGAAAGGAGAGAAAGGACTTTTAACAACTAAAAGAATACGAATGTAAATTGTTCATGGAATCAAAAGCCTTGTAGAAATGTGTATTTGTTGACCATTGAACCTAAGGTGACGTAAGGGGGCAATCAAATTGTCTGGGCCAATTCTCTTATTTTACAAATGAGGACACTGAGGCTCTGCGAGATTAATAAGTGAGTGTTTATATCTCTTCTTTAAGAAGGACTTAGCAATTAAGGTTTGGGGTTTAAGAGTTCTGGAGAGGCCTTTGAAGTCCCTTTCCTTTGGGGTCTTGGGGCTAAGGGCTGGGAAGAGGACATGTCCTGTCCCAGAGCCAGGGAACAGGCTGGGCTTCAGAGGGTGCCTTCAGACCCCTCGGCAGCCGGGGACCTGGGAGGATGTGGAGAACGGAGGTCCTCCAGGAAGGCCTCAGCTCTCTAAAGGAGCAATCCTGGTGCCAGAGGGGCAGTCCTGAGGAGCTGAAGACTAGGGCAGGTGAACAGAGACGGGTCTGTCTTGGTGGGTGAGAGAAAAGCCGCCCATAACCAAGAGGAAGAAGACATGGGTGATGGGACAAAGCAAGAAGAGAAATTGAGGGGAGAGATGGAAACAGTGTAGACAAATGTGCAGACGTGTGTCAATTTGTTAAATAACGTTTACTGAGCACCAAGCACAGCAGTCCATGCTCCTGGGGCTGGATGAGTGCGTCGCCCTCCAGCCCACCCCCGTGTCCACCTGCCCTTGCCTCCCACGGGGAATGCAGGATGGGGCAATCCCTTGGCAGGGGACAGCTCTTGCGTCCGCTAATGGAAGATGACCTGCCTGGCAGGCCTTCCTGCAGCAGCCTCCCTGTGTGCAGGTGTCATGGGAAGTCTGGCTGGGCAGCTGAACTTGAGCAAGGGGTGGGGGGTGAGTCCCCCAGCTGGGACTCAGGACCCCTAGGACAATCTGGCTGGGAGGGGTGCACCGGCGCCCACGGGAAGGAAGCACTGGATCACTGGGCAGTCCTGGCTCACCCAGCAGCGGCGGCAGGCAGGGAGAGAGCCTGGCACACGGGACACACTCTAACGCCAAACAAGCAGACAAATGGGTTAATGTACCTGCGAGTGTCAGATGGCCAGCCAGAGCTTCAGGAGAAGAGAATGGAGCTACCCCCTCACACTGCAGGCCTGAGCAGGGCTTGGTTTGAGGAGCTGGCAGGGGGCGTTGGGTGAGGAGTATGCACCCGGCTGGGCTGGGGGGGGGGGGCGGGGGGCACGGAGGAAGTGCTGCTGGCCCCAGGTCCCCATCTCCTCCTCCTAGCTTCCCTGGTGCTGGCTCTCATTTCTTCTTAAGTTTTATTTAGGTCACCTCTACACCCACATGAGGCTTGAACTCACAACCCAGAGATCAAGAGCCGCATGTTCCTCCAACTGAGTCAGCCAGGCGCTTCTGATTTCTTCTCTCCTTACCCCCTGTCTCCCTCATCTCTCTCACCCAGTCCTCTCTTGTGCTTTGGACCCATCATTCCAGTTGCCTATTGCTATCACAACCCTTAGATCGCAAGCAGGTGTAAAACGTGTGTGCACACACGCACGTAGATCCAAGCTTTCATCACTACCCTTCTCCTACATTCACGCCACTCGGCAGTGGCTGGGAGACAGCGGGCAGCTTATGACAAATGCTTGTGTGTTTTGATGACTTCTTTTCCCTCACTTCTCACATCCCTTAGTCACAGAGGCCTGGCCGATGGGCCTCAACTAGTTCTTCAATCCTTCTACCTCTAAACAGGGACTGTTGCAAAAAGCTCCTTGATCTACTTTCCATAACCATCCCATGCCTCTTCAATGCAAGCTCTGTGGCCCTAGAATGATCTTAGGAGGTAAACCAAATCAGGTCACCCCACCACCCTCCACTCCCACGTTCAAACCCCTGCAGTGGTTCTCTCTGGCCTGTAAGCTAACTTCTGTGTGTGTGACAGACAGTAGCCTCCACCTGCCCCAATGCCTCTGCTGCTCCAGCCCTGAACCCCACACACCCCCTGCTCATCCAGGCCGGGACACGCATGCTGTCCCGTCAGCTTGCGCTCAGAAGCCACATCCTCCCTCTTAAGGCTTCTCCCTGGGCCTTAGGCGCTCCTGCTTTAGCACCTGCCCCGCAGTCCTGGAGTCACAAGCCCTGTCCTTGCCCACGGAGGGGTCAAGGGAAAGCTCCACATCATGCCATCGCTGTGTGCCCTGCCCCTCGCACGGACTGTGTGTCAAAGGGGAGCAAGACCGAGAGGACAGTGTCTTCTGTGCAGACTTTGGGTTGTGACAAGATCTCTTGGAGAAGGAGAGGCCCTCGACCTCCATTCTTCCGGTCATGCATGCAGTGGCCTCAGTGGTCCGTATAGCTAAACAGAAAAAGAATAAGATGTGTTCACAAGCTCTTGTCCTTTTCAGTAACCTTGGTGGCAATACCATCAATGAAGCTGTCCTGACTCTGCTTCAGGCCGGAGGGGCCCGGGAAGAAATCAGGCTGGACCAGCTGGTGCCCCGGCTCCAGGCCGAGATGGAGTCCACGGGTAAGTGGCTCCCAGCCTCTCGGGTTGGGGGGGGGGGGGGGGCGTCTGGACTGGAAGGTGGGCTTCTGAGGTTGGCAAGGCAACCGTATCATCACCTCACTGTCAGCTCCAGGTAGACACAAGAGAAGGTCCAAGAAAGCTGAACTTCTCTGAAAAGGCTTTCAGAGTAGTTGTCCCAGCCCTGGAAACCCAGGCAGCGGACCCTGAGCGAGAGTGTCTGTGAGCTCAGTGGTTCGTGCCTCTGGCCGCCTCCTGGTGTGAAATGAAACAGTAAACCTGCAGGCAGTGTCCCACTGTCCCGCTTCACCTGGGGCACACGTTCGGAGTCAGCCGGGGCACACTTTCGCTCTGAAGTTTTTTTTTTTTTTAAAGATTTTATTTATTTATTTGAAAGAGAGAGAATGAGAGACAGAGAGCATGAGAGGAAGGAGGGTCAGAGGGAGAAGCAGACTCCCCGCCAAGCAGGGAGCCCGATACGGGACTCGATCCCGGGACTCCAGGATCATGACCTGAGCCGAAGGCAGTCGCCCAACCAACTGAGCCACCCAGGCGCCCCGCTCTGAAGTTCTCGACACGGGCTTTAGGGTCTTAAAACTCCAGTTGGGGTCAGCCCCAAGGTAGACGCCATGTAACTCTGCTCTTGATTGATTTCAGACACTGGCTTTGGCCACAGCTGTCTTGTCAAGGAAAACCTGATTGACTTCTTCGTCCCCTTCCTGCCCCTGGAGTACCACCACGTGAGGCTGTGCGCACGCGACGCTTTCCTGAGCCAGGGGCTCCCGTACACAGAAGAGGCCCTGGACCAGATTGCCAAGATGATGGTGTATATCCCCAAGGAGGAGCAACTCTTCTCTTCTCAGGGCTGCAAATCTATTTCCCAGAGAATTAGCTATTTCCTGCCTTGAGGGCTCGAGGAAGACTTCCTGCAGCTGCGGGTTTTCCCCCACCAGGACCCTGGGGCCGGTCAGGAGGGCAGGCTGGCCTCCAGCCGTCACTCCCACACACAAAAGGTGTGTAAGAAGGAAAGGCCTTAAATCAGAAACAGAGCCAACACTTTAAATCACTTGATGCCTTAAAGAGCCACATTTTAAAATGTGGGCCAGGTGGTTGGAGACAGCCACAGGCCAGATGAATCCCAAGGCCTGGCTAGCATCTCCGCCCTTGCCTGCAGAGGCCCGGACTTGGGGGTGAGGCCAGAGGTCGCGGGGTCCTCATTGACAGGGAAGGGAGACTCAAGCTCCGCTTACCAGTGGCCAGGCTGCACCTCGGGTGTGCAGGCACAGGGGCTTAGCTTTCAAGCTGTTCCCAGAGGGAAGCGGAGCAGGTTTGTGTGTGAGCGGATCAGCAAAGAGCCTCAGGCTGAAGGAAAAAGTACGCAAAAGAAAATTTTATATATATATTTATATATAAATCATGTCAGTGGAGATTAAGATTTGTACTCTTAGATCTGAAAGAATTTAAGCAAGGGGCTTTGACATGGCGGTGTCATGTGTAAAGATTAAAAGTTTGTATTTTTCTAAAACCCTCAGCCTCCTTTCTTACTGAGACCTAGTAATCATGCTCACGCGGCCGGGGGCGGATGCCGGCGCTCAGGGCGGACGCGGTGACCGCCGGCTCTGCCAGGTCACTTCCCGCGGCTTCGCGCAGCGGCCAAACCGTCATGTCAGCCTCTTACTGAGGAGCTCTCACAGCATAGTGCTCCGTACGTGAAAACGTCACTCCCGGGCTCCCAGCTGTAAAAAGAGAAAGTCATTTTTTTTTTGAGGTTTGAATGGCCACATATAAATGCGTACATTGTGTTTCTAGACACACAGGGGATGTGCGTTATGTGTCTTTTGCCTTCTCTTGGTTCTTCTTTTGCTTTTCTGGAATTGCACACAGGTCTTATATTTGTCATCACCTCAAGTATCCCCTTATTTAAAGCCTTCCCCAAGCCCTCTTACCTTCAGGCTCTCTCTGATTGAGCACTTGATCACACTCACTCATTTACACCGTCTCAAGGTCAGGGAGGACCTATAGCCTGAGCCATGTTACGTACGTTGTCTCAGTCTAGAGTATCTCAGGAAGAAGATGCAGGAAAACTGATCCTGTTACAACCCCAGCTCTATATTCTGTAAATACAATTTTATTTAAGATTTTGAGAGAGAGAGAGTGGCGTGCACGAGTGGGGGAGAGGGAGAAGCAGGCTCCCCACTGAGCAGGGAGCCAGACCCAAGGCCTGATCCCAGGACCAATCACAGGACCCTGGGATCGTAACCTGAGCCAAAGGCAGACGCTTAACCAACAGCCCCCCAGGCGGCCCTATAACTGTACACTTTATACTGTCTTTAGGTTTCAGAGCACGCTCCAGCAGCCATCCTTTTAGCACTGGCTAGCCACAGCTGCTGGCGTAAATACAGGGTCTGACCGGCTCCGCGCCTCAGGGACAAAGGTAGGCAGCAGGACATGGTGGCTCTGCACCCTTCTCGGGCGCCCGGCCCGCAGTGCAGGGGCTCAGCCGCCTGGCGCTGTGAGACCACAGAAGGCTACCAACTGCAGCTGAGCCTTGCTTGCTCCTTTTGTAAAAGTGAGCATCACTGCACTTCCCTCATAGAGTTGCTGTGAGGATAAGACCAATCCATAAAGTGCGTAGGACACAGCCCTTTGGTGTTTAATAAAGTACAGTCTAATAAAACTGCTGTCAGTTGGCACCATACTCCAAGCCAAGCGGGGGCTTCACCCCCACCCCCGTTCTAGTCCGCGTGACCCCAGCTGAAGTCCATTGTCGGTAACCAACATTTGAGAACTTACCATGTGCCCTGCATGCACTGTGCTAAGCACTTTATAGCCACTACTTCATGTCACCTTTAACGCTGGCTTCGGCGACGAGGAAATTGAGGCTCTGAGAGGTAAAAGATCGTGCACAAAGTCACAGAGCTAGTCAGTGGATTGGAGGGGCTCAACCCAGGCAGTCTGACTCCAGCTTTCCTGACTTGTTCCTAAAACAGATTTCCTCAGCTGTGCAGAATGTTACAAATAACACAAAAGAGGGAGAAAATCACAATGGAAGGTTCTCCTCCAGAACTCTAAATCCAGATTGCCCAACTAAACCAAAAATGGGCAGGAGGAAAGGACTGCAGGGGGAACGTGAGGAGGTAAGATGTTTAATTAACAGCCCCTCCACCCGGACCTCACTGTGCACCACCACCACATGAATACAGCCTACTCCTACCTAATTATCACGGTACTTCTAAAAGCAATGACTCACGTTTTTAAAAAACTGAAGGCCCAGGGCGCCTGGGTGGCTCAGTTGGTTAAGTGACTGCCTTCGGCTCAGGTCATGATCCTGGAGTCCCGGGATCGAGTCCCGCATCGGGCTCCCTGCTGAGCAGGGGGTCTGCTTCTCCCTCTGACCCTCCTCCCTCTCGTGCTCTCTGTCTCTCATTCTCTCTTCTCAAATAAATAAATAAAATCTTTAAAAAAAAAACAAAAAACAAAAAACTGAAGGCCCAGTCAAGCAAGGGTAGAATGTTCCATGTGACATTCTACACACGCTCTATTAATGCTACTTTGGCTCAAAACCTTTTCAGAACCAAGGCGTCTGCCTTCGGCTCAGGTCACGATCCCAGGGTCCTGGGATGGAGCCCCACGTTGGGCTCTCTGCTCAGCAGGGAGTCTGCCTCTCCCTCTCCCTGCTGCTCTGCCTACTTGTGCTCTGTCAGATGAATACAAAATCTTTAAAAAAGCACCTTTCTATTAATACAATTGGCACTTCGATAGAGTAATTTAAAAAAAAACGTTTCAGACCCTATTTGGAGTGTCCTCAGAGTGGACTGGGAATTAAGTCTCCCTTTACTGTCCCCCGTGTTAGATACACACATGCATGTATACCCATTACCCACCGTATGTACCTGCCCGGCTCCAGATGATGCCTTTGGCCGTTTCCAAAAGTGTAATTCATCGAAGAACGAGCATTCACTCCCACAGAGGACAACCTGAAGAATGTGCCAGAGGGATGTCGCCAAAACCAGCTTCCCCTTACAGACTTCTATTTTATTGTGAAAATAAAAGATACATTCTGCACAGATTCCCTCTCAGTTAAAACTGTGGGAGACACACTCCAATTAGAGGCCTACTTTGCCAATAAAATATTGCAACCTTTATTTAAAATAAAACACAAGTTGGCAAGCCTTGTGAGACAACAGGCAGACAGCATTCCCCTTTCAAGGGCCTCATTTATTTACATCAAGTTTAACACTGTTAGCAGTTCACAGTCAGACAACAGGGTGAGAGAATTAAATTAGAAAAACAAAACACCTGAAAATATATTACAAGAACAAATACCTGACAACACTGGTAGTGTGACCCATGACTGATGTGTTTCCAGTGAAATCCCGTACTGTCTCCCTGTGTCCCCTCAGCGGTGCACAGTGCCAGGCCCTCCAGGCCTCACCCCCGTGCATCCACCACGCATACACCTGCGGAGCGTGACCTTTGGTATAAACGTTAAACGAGTTTTAAAGACTGAATCATAGGCTGTAGGACAAAGTTCTATCAACCACCATGAAACGTTCAAACTTCTTTTTGACAAGCAAGCATAAAACTGGGTTTCTCCACTGATAGCCATTTCAGAATCAGATTGCAAGAAGTAAAAGTGTGGGGTCTACCCAGGAGATGGGGGGTTCTGAGGATGCATACACAGCTCAGTCAGCCTGCTCGTGGCCAACACACCAAACCAGGGCACAGCTTCTCTTCACCACAGGGAAAGATCTGAATTAAGTGAGAAAGACCCTCTTTCACTGACTCCCCTCCTTTCTCAGCACAATGGTGTAGGTACAGAATGTGGACAGAACACAGACCCTCCATATAGATCTGAGAGATGAGGGTTTTCAAACATATGCCCTAAAGAACTCTGAGTACCTCATTGTCCTTTCTAGTTTCTGAATACTAATTTCTCTGAAGGACAATCACCCTAATCAAGGTGATTTCTCAAGATCTCAGAAAATTTCTCTCATAACGGAATCCCAAGAACAGTGGCCACAGTGAAAAACAGCTTGTCCAAACGGAGGCAGGCTGGCTTACCTGGCCTTCACCTACCAGAAACATCTCGGTCTCTTGGCAGGCCTGCCAACTCTCAACACATGGTATGGTACTTCTGAATTGTGCAGAACAGTATTTGGGATTCACCAGTGAGGATACTAAAGCCCTACAGGATCCTGCAATATCTTCTGAATCACGAATAAATTTATTAGGCACACCTGTGTTACTGTTGTGTTACAACCGATGAAAACTACCCTACATGTGAAAATTTTATTAACTAGAAGTCCCATTCTCCAACTGAAGTTTATGGTGCTCAATTACATGATTTGCAACTTCTATCCTGAGGCTCAGAAGCAAACCTAATAGGCAAGCTTCAATGAGACGAACTATTTCCTTTCTTTCTTGAAGCCCACGAGCACTGGACCACTCACCTCCACCATGTCTTAAAGAATTGACTAGAATGCTCCCAGACCTCAAGCCCTGCACGCAGAGCTCAGTAGCTTGGAGTGACACGCAGGGCCCAGAAACGTGCTCCTCTGAGTAAAATGAGGAACAAAGGACTTCACAGAACAGACACAGAGGGCACGAATTGGGTGTGGTCTAAGGACAAAGTGGAGCCTAAGCTTTCGACTTAAAGGAGACACCCCTTCCTTCAGATGGTCTGCAGGTTAGATCTGTTCACACGCCATCTGTGACCCCGGGCTGTTACCAGGGCCTTGCTACTGTGCTCACTATGTATACTTAACAGTGGGAAAGTTAAAGGATGTCATTTTTCTAAGAGACGTAAACAGTTTCAAATTCATAATTGAAAACAAGAGCAAAGAAGTGCACCTGGAGGGAGGGAAGGGTCCAGTTAGAGCAGCCTTCCCCCAGCTCCCCAGGCGGGCTGGAAAAAAGTGCAGTCTGTCACCTCAGCGTCCTGTATGGGGGGGAACATCTCAAGCAGGGACTCTCACTGACTGGGGCACTGAGCCCCCACCACCCACCTAACCAGTTCTAGCTCACTAAGTGTGCACCACCAACCCAGCTTACAAGTCTCTCCTCCGCAAATCGCACAAAGCCCATCTTTGAAGGCACAATCCTCAGAGCGTCTTCTACCACTCCAAGTCATCCTAGAATCAAGATGACCTGCCCAGGCCTCCTCACCCAGGGAGAAGCATGCGCTCTTCCTACCCTATCCTGCTCTTGGGATCTAGGATACGGAGTCGGAAATGGAGGAAATAGCGCCTTACACATGTGTTATCTTCAAGATGAACCCTTTCACCTCCGGTATGGCATGGGAAAGCAGCCCCAGAGCAGGAAAACCCCTCCTATTGGGACGCTGCAGTAAACGTCAAGCCAGACAGACTTGGAGGCTGTCTTAGTCACCTGCGTAGACACTCTGCACAGCCCGGAAATCCAGCCACACTTCCCGGCGATACAGGAGGGCAGGGAATGGCACTAAAGTTCTGGCGGTAACAGGGCAGGTAACAACAATCATCGTTACTCCAGGCGCTTGCCCAGAAAAGCCAGCCTTGCATTTGAATTTTTAAATTCTGAGAGTTGGAAAACTGGAACTCTATCCAAAAGAATTAACTATCCTGACTGTTGTTATGAGTGGGACAAGCTTTAGAACCAGCCCAGGCCTTTCGTCTCTGCCTGGCGAGGCTAACGGCCAGCAGCAATTTCCTGGGTTGTCGCACGGATGGGGCAGGCATCTGTGGGGCTGCCTTGGCCTGCCTCTGTCACGAGGGTAGAGGCTCCCTCCAGGCTGCCTTTCCCTCTCTCTTTCCTGCTCCCACACCCCCCAAACCAAAGCAGACATTTACAGAAGAACTGAGCTACTGGCTTGACAGAGATACAGACAGCTGGGGGTCTATTAATTCGTAAGAAGAAACTTACATCCAGAGACCCATCTACATAAGAAAACTGGTCATAACAAATGCTTAGGGCACAGAGATGGACCCAAATCCAGATAAAACAAATTAATGCCAAGCAAGATGACGAAACCCCAAAGTTGTGATGAACGAAAACGTTGACAACCCTGTCAGCCCAATGTGAACTCCTGTGGAAGGATAGTAACAATGACATCAACAACAAAAATTGGAAGGGAGAGGGCAGAACGCAGTGAAGCTAGAACTCAAAAGTGGCCACCAATGCAATTCACTCTGGGGTATTTTATAATCTAATAGGCAAATTGTGTTTAGCTACTCATTTTAGAAACACACACACGCGCGCGCGCGCACGCAATGAACATCAAGATCATTTCTAACTGGCAGGAAATCCTAGAAAACTAATTCCCAAAGTGCACTGGTTCTATGGCCATCTGATCCCACCCCTCCCCTCCCCTCCAAGAAATCCCAACAAAACCACGCTGGACATCGGTTAAAAAAAGACACTGCCAACATCAACAGGTACGAGTCTGCACCCACCGTGTCAGGATGCTAACTGGCTGAACACGTAGCCTAAAAGGGGAACACGGAGGATAAAGGGCCTCAATTCTTCCTGAGTTAAGTTCCCCGGAAGAGCCTCTTTATTCTGGAGTACACATTACTACTTTTTAATGATTATAATTAAACCAGAAAGTTGGTCCGTAGTTTTCTGAAGTTACTCGGCTGAGATACAATTTTAGCAAAACACTTACTATGCCTGCACATATTCACTTAGCGGTTTCATATTTACAAATGTGATAAGTCACAGGGGTGATTATTTATATATTTGCATTTTCCGGTCTCCCACAGGTAAAAGCGTATTAAGTCAATCAGCATCTAACCGACTGTTTGATCTTCTAAACAGACAGTAATAACACAACCTTATAGTTAAATTATATTTGATACTTTTCTCAAAGTGCTTTCATATACATTACCTCATAGTCATTAAAATGATATGGATAAAGTTGTTTTGTTTTTAAGAAAAAGGAATGTAGGACTAGGTTTTTTAAAACTCGAGTTAGTATTTCTTTATTACAAAGTGCAGACTACTGCTGTGTTCCTGGGGTCTGTCCAAAAGAATGCCCCCCCCGCCCCTTTTCTAAGTTACTGAGCTCTACTGCACGCCTGCTCCGCCGTGTTGCCATTACTCAGCATGCAAGCCCCTTACGGCCAGAGCATGCCAGGAGCGTGTGCTTTAGAAAGCGTGCAGCACTGTGCAGACTGATTGTCTATCCGAGCCACCTTTTTTTTTTTGCAGTGTCTCACAAGGCAGCAGGAAAGGTGGAAAGACCCCACAACCAGAAAGTCATGAGACCTGAACCCTATAGCCTTGGCTCTGCCACCAATTAACCGAGATAATGGGCAAGTAACTTCACCATCCTCTCCTCCAACTTCTGAAGCTATGAAGGAAAGGGATGGGGTCCTGATAGTGTTCAGACAGTGCTGGGTATCTAAAACACCTGGAGGGATTCTCGGCTGAGACCTCACCCCACTGGGAAGTCTAAGCTGGGGTGAGCCAATGCATCAGACTGTTTTTTTTTAATTCCAGGGATTTTGTTGCCCATCCCCGGCGAAGACCCACTAGACTAAGTGGTAGTAACAGCAGGAGCAGTGACCATTTACGGAGTGCTCATCATGTGCCAGGCACTCAAGCTAAGTAGCTTACATACGTTATCTCATTTAATCCTTACAACAACCCTGAGGTAGTTACTATTATTATCCCTGTTTTCCAACGTGGAAACTAAGGCTCAGGAAGGTTAAATGACTTGCCTTCTGGACTGGCTTCAGAGTCTCAACTCTTAATCACTATCTATACTGTATCCTTTAAAACTCAAAAGCTCCAGGACTTTAAATAAACACGGGCTGCACCTTAGCTAAGTCAGCATGTTTTATTAACTGGGTACGATTTTACTAGCCAATTTTCAACTGAATTGTAAGAAAATTCTAACTTAAACCCCAAAAATGCAACTGGCGAAGGATCTCTACTCTAATGATATCAATGAATAGGGGTTCATCTGGAAAAACACTGAATGAATTTCTTAGGGCCAATCTTTTTTAAGGCTGTATCTCTGAAAATCACAATGGAAGGCTGTAGGAAAATATACACACTTTAATTTTACACAAAGCCTTTTAAGAAAATACTTCATGTGGAACACAATCAAGATGTATTCCACACAAAACACTGCGTTTTAAGGTAAGAAATCTAAGCTGAAATCATACTGTCTGTACGTGAAAGGACTCAAGCGGTACCAGCCCCAAGGTATGCATATATATCAACCACTTTAGAGAGTTGTCAACACCTTGTAGAAGGCCTCTTGCTCCTGGCTTTGCTTTTAAACTAGACAGACTATGTTTTTAGTTTTGAGAAGCAGTTTTCTCTACTTTGAGTTCAAACTTTTGAATTTACATAAGGTTATTTTAAAAATCTGGTCCTTTTCAATTAGAAAAAGGAGCAGTCAAGTGATACTTTTCTAGTAAGTTGACAGTGCCTCTTTCACCTGACCCCTGGAGTCCCACGCAGTTCAAGCATCACGTGGATGGGCTGTGCTACAATCGTTCATGCTGCTCTTGACAGTGTTGAGAAAAAGCAATTCATTTCATGAACTTCTTGAGCACCTACTGTAGGCAAGACAGAGCCAGGTGCTGCCCCTGAGTAAGACACAGTCCCCGCCCTCAAGACTGTTCCGCGATGAGAAAACCAGGGAGCTTACACACACTCAGTAGTGTTCCTCCAAGGCTTATTTTCAGAGCTCTCAAGGAAAGATCCCCTGCTTTAAAAAAAAAAAAAAAAAAAAAATCCCCTAAAAAACACAATTATAATTAACCCCTCAACTTGCATCCCACAATGACAGATAAACTTAAAAAGCAGCATAATATTCTAAAGTTTTAGCTTTCCCTGTCCCACCCTTAAAAGGCTAATGGCTAAAACGATTTCAAGTTCATGGAAATGACTGCTGAAGGGGAGTGGCAGAGAGGAAGGTGGGAGGACCGTGGGCCTCCATCCATGTTGAAGGGAACTCTGCCTTCTCGTCCAACCACCACAGGAAGCCCGGCCGGATTGCTAGCCGCCTGTGCTGCACCTGACCGTGACCTACGGATGCGGCTCACCCATGCCCTGTCAGCGAGGCCCGGGGCTTTCTCCCCCTTCTCCCCCTGCTCCTGGCCTGGGCCTCCTTTGGTGCAGTCACAGTAAGATTTTCTTTCTAATGAAAACTAAATTTCCTCCTTGGTCAAAGATGACACACTGTACAAAACAGTTTTTCCTCCTTAGTATTCTAGCCCTGTTAGCATCATCTCAGCAGTTCAACATTTCCATTATCTGCTACTGAGCAGAGAATGGAAACCTTTCAACGTAACGACGCTGCACCGAAGTGGCTCTCAAAGGGACAGCTATATGCTTATCTGCAAAAGACCCCTGAGAAGATGTAGCATTACCTTCATTTAACAGATTAAGAGATGGGGCTGTGGCTTGACAGGGGATCGATGACAGAGCCAGAAAGAAAACTCACAGGCCATCAGTGTTCACTTCCTAGCTTCCTAAGTTAATATTCCTTTGGGAGGAAAAAAGTAGTGTATTTACTCTTTTGTATCAGGTTCTCCTTGGGTGGGTGGGGGGTGGTGGTCGTAAAGCTTTAAAAAGAGAATGAAGTATTAAAATTAGACCTGATATCAAGAATATGAGTAGTATCTAACCGATTAGGTTCAGTTCCATATGATCCTAATTAGTTTCCATAATAATAACTGAATAGGAAAGGAAAAGGCCCATTTTTCAAAGGCAAAACATATTTGGGGGTTAAGTCATTAGGTTTCTAGGATTTAATCAGTGTTTCCTGGAAATGACCTGCCCCTTCAATTATGCATTCTTCTAAGAGAGGTGAAATGACAAAATAAATATCAAAGAGTATTCCCAATAGGATATTTACAGACAAACCCAACAATGAGGGGGAGGGGGATATGTGAAAGAAGAAAAGCATATGAGAGTAATTTGGGGTGATTCATTTGAAATCCACAGAGACTAAGAGAATGTTTCTCCTTGCTCTCCAACTAGCCTGGGTCTAAGGTGATAAGGGAGGAGAAAGGTACAGAGAAATGGCCATTGGGACCGAGTCAGCTTCTCGAAAACTCTCAGTCACAGACCTCTGGACCTGACCACTGGATTCCAAGAAACCTCCCTCCCTGGTAGTTTAGCTGATAAAGAAATACAGAGCTGCTCAATTCCTTGGCCAGTATGTCGGTATGCAGGGGCACCATATCAGAAAAGGATTCCTGAGAGAACCTGTACATGACCACTATTTTCGAAACCAACGCTGGTCAGTGCCCTGAATACTGCCAGAGATAGAGGAGGACAGCCTGCCCAGCAAAGAGCAGAGAGGAACCACTAAGGAAACCCCTATGCCTATGATTTCTAGACGGGCACCAGCAAGCAGAAAGCCAATCCTGGTCCACTAGGAAATAATCTACGAGACTGGGAGAAGTGACTTTTGCTCATCAGTGGAGAAGATGTGAGGAGGAGGTTTCAATCTCCCTGACAACTTCCTGCACCAATTAGCACACCCATGGGAAAGAGGACAGGAGCCCACCCTAGCAATCTGATCTGCAGTTCTTACTGCAGCGGGGAGCCCTGTGGAAACAGCTGCGTTCAACAGCCTCAAAGGAAAGGTCCCTCGGTACATTCCCAGCTTTCTCCTCTTCTGTCCCACCCGATTCATTCGGCGAGGGGGCGCGTCATCACCGATCGTAACCCCTGGAGCCCCAAGCCAACCCCGCAGTGTGTGGTGCGGAATGAGCGCCACTGCCAGTTCCCGGGCGGGCGCAGGCCTGCGGCCTTGCCGAGAGCAGCCCTGTGTCCCCAGCGCACAGCATTCCGGGTAGGCCGCGGGCTGGACTGGGTTCTTCGTGGCCTGACATACACACGCTCCCTGATGTTCCGGTGCGCCTTCCAATCCTGTCCGCGACTGCTCCGCCCCCATCTCATTTCCCTGTCCTACGTGTTTTTGCTTTTTGTTGTTTTTGAGATGAACCTGTAAACGTGAGAGCTCAGAGATCTGAGGTACTTCACATAAACACACTCAAGTATCAGTCTTTCATTTTTTGAAAACAGGAACACAGGAAAACAAGCCCCTCTCCCTCTCCCCTCAGAGCTGTGGGCGTCTGCCCACGAGGCTCACAGTGGCTACCTCTGCACCACGTCGCTGATCTCCTGTACACATGACAGTAAGTTATTAAGGACAGGGTTGGCCCCGGGCCCCCCGGCCGCCGCTGAAGACACCTGCAGCTCCTGCAGGCTGAGCTCCAGTTTGCTCACAGCCTCTCGGAAGGCAAATTTGTTGCGCGTCTGCGGGATGCAGTCCACGTAGCCTGAGCAGTAGTCGAGGAGCTGGTGGCCAGTGTCCACCAGCTGGCTGTTGGGCACAGGCTCCGTGATGGCACTGGACAGTAGGTCAGCACATTCCAGCAGGGCCTCTTTGCTGATTTTGTCTGCTGAGATTTTCTCAGCCGCCTGTCTGGTTTTTCTCAGAGCCACTTTAGTACCTGCTGTGCCGTTAGCCATTTTGGCTGGCGAGATGGAAGATGTGGGGAGAGGCACTTGAGGGGGAGGCATCACTGGCCTCCCGGCTTTCCCACCACCAGGCACTGCCCCCGGGGCGGCCTTTTTCCCTCCTTCCTGTGTTTCTGGCATGGGCTGTCCTGCAGTCAGGGCAGTCGGCTCTTCCGTGGGGTCTGCGCACATGGACGGATGCTGCAGTAGTCTCATCACTGGGGGAGGGGGTGGGGCACACTTTGGTTTTACCCGTCGGGGTCGGTCCTTGTCTCCAGAGGATGTGACCTGATGCTCAGATAAGAGCTTGAATTTATTGCCCTGAGAGTCTGTGCCAATGAGCTGCACGTCAGCTGGAGTGTGCTTCAGAGTGGGTGAGATAAGGACCGGCACTTTGTGGTTGTGAGTGGTTGGGAGGGCTGCTGCGGCCTTGGCCGGAGAAGACCAGCCCGTCTGCTCGCCGTCCTCTGGGACTCCAGCCATGCCGAGTCGCGCCCCACCATTCCTCTCCTTGCTCTTCGGGGCGGCTGCCACTCCAGCCACCCCCGCCCCTGGAGAGTCCTTCTCTGTAATGGCTGGATCCCCAGAGGGGGTTCGGAGAGGAAGAGCCGTGGCTCCTCTGGGCAAAAGTTTGGCTTTTGGTCTCTCCCTACTTGCAGCAGCACCTTCCTCTGATTTTTTTGGAAGCATGTCACTGGCCCTGTCCACATTCTCTTCTGGCTGAGAAGAGGTGGACACTGTCCTTTCCAGCTGGAGTTTGGACCTCTGGCAGTTCCTGGGAAGGGTCATTGCCATCCTATCCTGCTCTGGAAGCCCTGAGGACATGGAAGATGTAGAGTTTGACCTTGGAAAAGGCTTGGAAGTGTCATCACTGGCTGTGGGTTTCCCCGCTCGTAAGCCCAGTGTCTTTTTGATTAAGCGTGGTGTAAAGAAGCCTGTGATGCCAGACCACCCGCCCCCAGCAGTGCCGCTGCCCCCGCCCCCACCGCCATCGTCATTACAGAGGTTCCTCTGTGCAAAGCTCCCCCCAAAGCACTTGGGTGGCACCAGATTCGCCTCTTGCTGGGCAGGAGTGAGAGAGAACCCATCAGCATGCTGTAGAGAAGCAACAGATGAGAAGTTACCCGTGAGTTCGTATTTCTTGTGGGGTTGATTCTCCATTTCTCGGAAGGAGCTGCTGCGTTTGGGGGGTGTGGGAGCATTTCTCTTTTTCATGAAGGAGCTGAAGAAGCCTCCCTTCCTATCCCTGGTGAAGCATGTCTCTTTGGCATCTTCCAAGAGGCTGCTGGGTGACTTGTCTCTTTGTTTTCGAGGCAATGCTGGGGACCCACTAGGGGCCTGTGCACCTCTAAGGAACCCTGATGAGAAACGGCCAATCAGTAATGTGAAAGACAAACAGTGACTCCGTTACACTTGAGTAACTAAGGCTTCACTGTAAGAGTTTTGTCAGGATCTCTTAAATGTCAGGTATCAGCAGGACTCAGAGAAAACTAATAAATGCGTTATCATTTCCCACCGATGAGTTCCAAATACAACATGGGATATAAACGCGAAGAAACCACCCGCTGGTTTTCACCTCGTTATGTCTTTTCTCTAAAAACCACAGCGCACCCTGGCCTCCTCTATCAGGCTCAATGAAGCAGTTTCTGCCAGAACCGTAAAGACGCTAAGCGTCTGGGATTCGGGAGTTGAGGAAAGAGCGCGGGAGGCCGAGCCGTGGGCCGGGCGGGGAGGTCGGGCCTACCGCCGGCACGGCGGGCCGGCCACAAGAGCCGGAGCTGTTGCAAAGCCAGCCGGCCCCTCCTCAGGGCAGACGGAGAGCGGAGTGGAGATCGAGCATCGTACCCCAAGGTTCTTGGAATGAGACGGCTGCATTCTACCCGCCTAGCGACCCATACCTGGTGCTGAACTAGAAGCAGAATTTTCTGTGGCGTCCTGTGCCCCTTCGATATTCTCCTTGTTGTCCCCCTGCTTCTTGAGCGTCCGCGTCTTGGAAGGAAGTACAGGCAGTCGGGGCAGGTAGGGGACAACAGATGAGGCGGCGGCGGCTCGCCCAAGCTCCTCAGCTACCTCTGTGAGGAAGAGAGGGGGCTGATCAAACCAGCGTCACGACACAGAAAAGGTTTTCTTTTCAGAAAAGATACACAACTGAGAAAAAAACTGGAGAAAAGAGCACCAAAATATGTAATGGAATCAGAGTGCGGACTCTTTTTATGTCTGGCTTCTTTGGCTCAACACCGTGACTGCAGATCCATCCGCGCTGTTGCACGCGGCAGGGGCTTTCATGGGTACTGTTCAAACGCGTGAATCTCCCAAAATCAGGCCATTCCTCTTTTGATGGATATTTACGTTATTTCTGGTTTGGGGCTACTGTGACTATGCCGCTAGGAACACCCGGCTACGTGTCCTTTGCTTCAGAATCGTACATACGTCTGCGGGTACATACCAAGAAGCAGGACCGGTGGGTTACAGGGTGCACATAATTCAGCTTCGCTGAGTCCTGCCAAACTGTCTCCCAAAACGGCTGTATCAATCTATACTCCCACTAGCACTGTATACAAGTTCTGGTTACTCTGCATGCTTGCCAGAGTTTGATATTCTGAGGTTCTGGGGTTCGATTTTAATTTTAGCCATTCTGGTGCTAGGATATAGTGACACCTCATTGTTCTATTCTGGACTTCTCTGATGAGGAGTAATGTTAAGAAGCATGGTTTCATAGGCTTTCATATCATTTGGCTAGCCTTGTTTACTGAGGGCTTGTTCAGAGGCTGAACAAAGCCGACAGATTTCTGGAGTTACTTTTATTTTTAGGTTGCACCTTACACCAAGAAGTAGGATGGATACACTTCATTTCATTTCATGCAAATGAAGCAAATGAGGCTTCTGAAAAAGTGTTCACCCTTTTGAACATGGCTATGTGTTTTGTGGCTTCTACTGGGGCAAAGGCATGCTTTGCTATTCACTCCTGAACAAAAACGAAGCAAATGAGATCAATTAAATTGTGATATATTGTGATTTTTTTATATTTTTGGGCAACTATTTTAAAAATTGACTCCCGCACAAGAATGGGTACATGGCATATAACCCAAGCCAGGCAGCGAGACTCCTTTCCTACGCTGCTATATACAGCAGCTGGGAGACAGACGTCAGCTATGAAGATACGACCTCAAGGATGCTAGCAACTATGCCCCATGTCTCTTCGAAGATTCCGAGGATGAGATCAACGTAGAGGCAAAAGTAAAGTGATACTGGGTGGGAGTGGCTGTGGAAGGAGGAAGTCCCGAAGCTACTTGAGTCTGTGGCTTCTACTGACTCTGAACCACACCAGGGTCTGATTATGAGCCAATAAATCCTCCTTCTATTGCTTTAGAAAGCTTGAGTTAGGTTTCTTCTACTCACAACTAACCAATAAATACATCTTTTTAAGGTAGGAACTGTGTCTTATCTCTGTGTCTTCAGTAAAGTGCTTGCCACAGATTAAATGCTTAATAAAATATGGGTTAAATAATCTTAAATTTCTTGTTTAGCAATTTTAAATTGCAATTACCTTTGAAAATTGATAATGGTTGATTTTCTAAAAGGATAGAACATTTTCAAGAGAAAGAGAAAATTTAACTAAGGATTCAACAGAAGTTAAAAGTTGACACAGAAGCACCAAAGAAATGGAGCCTGTGACTCCTACAACTTGAACGCCACATGAAGTAAAGCACAATGAGGAAAGAAGAGGGCCGTGAGGGGCAGCTGCTCGATCTGGCCCAAAGGGTGATGTGCACAAGTTTCAGCAAAGCACTAAGAAGAAAACGCTTTTCATTCAACTTCAGTGTTTCTTCTTATCAGAAATGATAAATCGCTAATGGAAGACAACAAAATTCAACTTGCCTGATTTCCTCTTCTTATATTTTAAAACCTGAACTTATGGCGTAAGCTCTATGTTCAATTATGAAGGAAAGAAAAAATTTGAAAAATATGTGCGAAACTCTGGAGCTGTACTGAAGAATCCAATCAGCACACATAACTAAGCATTCTGTTTTCAGCTCTCTAGGAACAGGCTGTCTATATAACAAGCGTACTGACTTGAGCATGTAACTGCAGAGGCGCTGTGTACTGACGTCAGAAGCTGCCTGCAGGCACCCATACGCCGGTTTTTCAGATACGAAAAGGGCTCTCACTGTTCAAAGCTTAACATGCTCATTTTTAAACTATTTCCATGTGAATATATTTTAGAATATCATTTTAAATATTCAATTGTGTGAATGTAATAATTAGCATCCCACTGGATTTTTAAATTGTTCATTTTTCAATATTAAAAACTACATGCTGATGTAACATCCTTGTAGCTAAATCTTTATTCATACCCTTAATTATTTCCTTAAGATCTATTTCCAGAAATGAAATTTCTGGATATTGCTTTTATGATTTGAGTTTGCTACTGTCTTTGTAGATATGGTTCAGGGAGGTGGAATATTCTTCATACTCATTTTTTCTTCCCTTCCATATATGGTTAAGTGTTGGTGCTTTAAGAACTACCAAACTTCTTCTCTTTATGAAGAGACTGAATTCCTACTTAAAATACAATTTCAATGTTAGAAATAAGTTTGAGACATAGAGATACATTTAAAAATAGCAAAAGAAAAAAAAAAAGGCAAAACAAGAATAATAAAGGCCAAGAATTAATTCAGTCCCCTGAAATGGAGTGCCAAACTAGAGGAGCCTATCATTTTCGAAATGTTATTACCACCCCTACCATCACCCAGACCTGGCCACCACCAGTAAACTGCCAGATTCCCACCTTCAGAAATGCTGGAGTCATGGAACATGGTTTCAAAAGCCTGATGTGTTTCAGCAAAAGAAGGCCTGTCGGCAGGGCTCCACTTCCAGCCTATGTAACAAAGAAGGAAATACTGAAAACTCCTTTCAGAAATTAAATATCCAGTGGCACACCTGCGAGTGAGGCTACTGAGGCAGAGGTCCAGCATGTTCACAATGAGAGTGAGGCGGCTGCTTCTCAGTTCCAGACTCAGGTGTAATAAACCCACTTCCTAGGGCTGGTCCTTCTATTCTTTCTACTACAGGGATAAAGACGGGTAGGGAGATGGTTTATAAAATGGAAAGTTGTTTTTTACTGGAAAAATGAAAGAAGTGAGACCTATCTTCAAACTCATTCTAACCTTATAATCAGCTGTCCATGTTCAGAAATATAACGGGATATCGGAAAGGAGGAACTTAAGAGTTCACTTTGACAAAAACAGGAGAATAGGGAAAATAAAAAGACATATGCTTAAACACAATGCAATTTAATAATTCCCTACTCATCTTCCAGCTTTCTCATCTGTAAGAAGTCAGATGCTTATGTTTATTCATGAGAGGTTACTTTCAGGTATTCTCCAGTCTTTGGCAATCATTTTTATCTGGTTGAAAGCAGCCTTCCCCTACCCAAACTCTAAACTCATTTTTTTTTTTTTTTTAAGATTTTATTTATTTGACAGCGAGAGAGGGAACACAAGCAGGGTGAGTGGGAGAGGGAGAAGCAGGCTTCCCACTGAGCAGGGAGCCCGATGTGGGGCTCGATCCCAGGACCCTGGGACCATGACCTGAGCCGAAGGCAGACGCTTAACGACTGAGCCACCCAGGTGTCCCTAAACCCAATTTCTTCTTATCCTTATTATGCAAGTGGTTTGGGGAAATTTAGTCAATTCATGGGCCATGGACAACTGTTGTTAGGATTCCAATTAAACTTGATGGTTTATCATAAATGCCAACTGGTTGATCAATGACCAACCTCTTTTTTTTTTTTTAAGATTTTATTTATTTATTTGAGAAAGAGAGAGCCAGGGGGAGGGGGCAGAGGCAGAGGGAAAAGCAAACTCTCCGCTGAGCTCAGAGCCCAATGTGGGGCTCAATCCCAGGGCCCTGAGATCATGACCTGAGCTGAAGGCAGACGCTTAACTGACTGAGCCACCGAGGCACCCCTGACCAACACTTTATACGTCAGGGGGTTGGATTAAATTTGACACTGAGAGGAAAACAGTTTATTTCGTTAATCATCCTGAATCACTGACTTAACCCTTCAAAATTAAAATACAAAAGAAAACACTCACATGCTCTCATAAGTTCATAAACCTTAGGGGGGCATCCTTCAGGTTGTTCCATTCGATATCCTTTTTCCAGTAGATCATACACCTGAGACAGGTCAATACCTGGATACGGTGACATCCCATATGTAGCAATTTCCCACAACAGTACCCCAAAAGCTGCAAAAGCGATTAAAAAAAAAAAAGCTGAATGTTTCTTCTCTGATTTATCTATTTTATACTATTAGGTAACTTCTCTTCAAATTTTGGATAACATTCACACTGTTATATTAGTATACTCTTCTAATTCTTATAGCATTCTAGTTCTTACAGCTGAACTTGTCCTTCTAAGATACCTGCCACAAAATGCTTCAGGTATAACCTCCAGGCTGTTTTCTAGAAGTTTTCTTTTTTTTTTTTTTTTCCGATTTTATTTGACAGAGAGAGACACAGCGAGAGAGGGAACACAAGCAGAGGGGGTGGGAGAGAGAGAAGCAGTCTTCCCACTGAGCAAGGAGCCTGATGTGGGGCACGATCCCAGTACCCTGGGATCATGACCTGAGCCGAAGGCAGACGCTTAACGACTGAGCCACCCAGGCACCCCAAATTTCCCAATATTTTAAAAAAGATTTTTTATTTGAGAGAAAGAGCACGCATGAGCACACAGCGTGTGAGTGGGGATGGGAGGGACAGGAGAGGGAGAGAGAATCCCAAGCAGACTCCCCACTAAGTGCGAGAAGGGCTCGATCCCACGTCACCAAGACACCAAGATCACAACCCAAGCCAAAACCAAGAGTCCAATGCTCAACCAACTGAGCTACACAGGTGCCCCATAAATTTCCCAATTTTTATTTAGATCTCTTTTACTGTAGTGAGGGAGAATAAATTAGGACCATAAAAAGTCTGGGACGGAACCAAACTACTCTTAGAACAATCTATGATCTGTTTAATGAGTTCCAGTTTTTAGATCAGCTAATATTAAAGGAGTAAAATAGAAAGGGACTCCTTTAAAATCAGGGGGAAAAAAATCACACTAGCAAAGAAAATTTGCTTGATCTTGTCACACATTATTTCTGAGTTTTGAGATTTCTGGTAAAAAGTGGCTTAGCATCTTACAACTATTTCTGCTGGCCTACAAACCCAAATTTCTAGACCTGTTCAGTCCATGAGCCTCTGCTAAATCAGACTGCTTTCCAGGGCAACCAGAACAAGATGAGTTAGTTACAAGGACAAACTCTAGGTACAATTCCATCATGCCTTCCTTGAAAAGAAGAGGCTACTCTGTGTCACAGCACTCAGGAAATGAGCTATGGAAAACAGGGAGCTTCATAGAGAGAGGATCAGTAAAATTCCAGTGCAATCCAAGATCTAGACTGTGAGCTTCTTGAAAGCAGGGACTTGTTTTTTGGCGTTTTTTTTTCTACTTTCTTCTTTACATTTTTTCTAGGCTAAGTGTCTAACACAACGCCTGGCAGATAATAGGTATTTAATAAATTCTTGCTGAATGATGAAGGATGGGGGTCAAGGCAGAGTTTACTGATTACATAAATGAGAAGCTCTAAAGAATTAAGAACATTTATTAAAAACATAAAATGACAGACATAGAAGAAGTCCCTTCCGACCTTACCCCAGACGTCAGATTTAATTGAGAAGGTATTGTAGGCAAGACTCTCTGGTGCTGTCCATTTAATAGGAAATTTGGCTCCAGCATGAGCAGTATAGGTGTCTCCAGTCATCAGTCTACTCAAACCAAAGTCAGCCACTTTTACCACATGGTTTTCTCCCACTAGGCAGTTACGGGCTGCAAGATCTCTGTGGAGAAAAGAACCCTAATGTGATTCCGTTCAGATGGTGAGGAAAATGGCCATGAACACTCTCTTCTTGGTTCTTTGTGCTACAAGCGGAGTTGAGAAGCGCACGCTGGCAGACACAGTATCTGATGACAGCTGCTAACGTGGCAGAAAGCCACTGACCACAGACCACTTGTAGGGGCATCATCAAGAGGCAGTTCTCGGATACTCGAACAAAGCAGACTTCAGAAAATGGCTTCCTATTTACAAGTACACTGAGAGAGGTGTCAGAGGTGAGGAGAAGATGCTTTTCTACAAGGCTTTAAGTTCTTTACCAAGACAGAAAACTATTTTTAAAATTAAGCCAGTAGAGCAAAAACCTCTTTGAAATGGTCCTGGGCAAAATAAAGAGCATTCTGTTTTGAGAATTAGCAAAGGCCCATTAATACTTTAACCAAAATACAGTAGGTTTATAAGCTGGAAATCACATTATAGTGGGCGAGCCCTATGAAAGAGAAAATTGCTTTTCTGAGGCATCTGGACATTTCTGGGAAGGTTCTCACATTCTTTTCTTTATTTGCACCTCAAGCAAGGTAGCTTCATGGTTAGTCACAGGCAACAGTCAGGCTTTACACACCTATGGATGAAATTCTTCTTCTCCAGATACTCCATTGCAGAAGAGATCTGAGTGGCCATGTACAGCAGGACAACTGCAGTCACCTCTTCTCGACTGCATTCTCGGAGATAATCAAGCAAGTTGCCGTACGGCATGTACTCAGTCACAATGTAAAATGGAGGCTCCAAAGTACACACACCTGAGAGGGGAAGAACAGAGCTTGTTTTATTAGTGTATTCCCAAGAATTCCCAGAACAAGAGACACATTTTAAAGTCTAGCTCAGCAGTAATCTTTTCCCTTCTCACCATCACATTCTCCTAAAATAACACGGCAAAGTTAAGATGAAGGCGGTCGATAAGGGAGTCTTGGCTTCCACTACATCATTCTTTGGAAATCCACATGCATCTGAGTATTTGCCTGTTTGGGCAAAAGCATTAATTCCCTAAGGGGTCAAGAAGACCAAAATGTCTTGAGTTCTGTATATGCCTGTGATTCCCATCCTCACCTGCACACTAACAATATTTATCCAAAACTAACAGCAACTGTGTGTATGTTGAAGAGCATGTGAGCGCAGCCCGTATCATGCTTTGTAAAAAGATTGTTTCCATAGACAAGGGTTTCACGGATACACGGCAGACTCCTTGTAAAAAATCAACAAGAAACTATTTCCTTTGGGACAATTTGGCTCAAGGTGAACACCCAAAGAAACTGGCCCTCCTCTCAAAAGGGCCGAGAGTTCAGTCACTAGTTTCTTTGTGACCTGAACGGGCGAGGAGCCATTCTACACAGGCTACCACCTGCTGCTTTGCAAGGTAAACCAATGGGTGTGGACACAATTTGTAACCTGCTTCTTTTCTACAGTTCTTTATGTCTCTTTATTTTGTAAAAATATTTTGTGACAATGTTTGGTTTGGTATCATTTTGAGTGATTCTAAACTTTGATTCTGGGGCAATTACCACAAACTGGGCAGTTATATATATTGTAATCAATCCAGGCCATTGTTTTCTGGGCAATTTTTATTAAAATCTTTTGAATTAATTTATGTATGTATGTAATCCCTACACCAAACATGGGGCTCGAATTCATGACCCCAAGATCAAGAGTCAGATGCTCTACTGACTGAGCCAGCCAGGGACCCCGTTCCTGGGCAATTTTATAAACAGAGAGCCTGCTGATTAAAATGACAACCATTTACTGAAGCAAACATTTATTGCGCCTGGAGCTTCCACCATGGTGATTCAAAAGCAGCATTTGGAAATAACGGGGATGGGAGACAAGGACCTTCGAGGAAACCTACGGTTCAGGCAAGCTTCCTCACCTAGTAGTTGGACCAGATTAGGATGCTTGATTTCCTTCATCACTGCAGCTTCCTTCAGGAACTCTTCCACCTCCATGGTATCTTCCTGGAAGGGGGAAAAATAAGAGAAAAACAAAAAACAAAACAGAAGAGGGACAAACCCCCATTTTAATCATTTGAGTCAACTCACAATCCTAAAACTACAGCTTTAAAAGGAGATATCTTTTGAATATTTTAGCAGATTACTTAAAGAAATTTTATCAGAACCTAATAATATGCTCCAGAGACATTCAATTAAGAAAGAAAAGTATCCCCAAATCTATCCAACATTTGAAACTGGAGTGAAAATTACAAGGGCAAGCAAAATTCAGCCACCACATCCCATCACAACTGAGACCTGGGAGACCTGGATGGATAACTCAGTGCTCTGATAGTTTACTTTCCTAGATAGCTCAGCCTTCAAAAGAAGGAGACAGAAGAGTTAGCTGTTTACATATCTGTCTTCCTGACAAATTCCTTAAGGAGCAATACATGTTTGCAAAGCCATGCATATTGTCTCAGACTCAAAATATGCTTAATAAATGTTTGCTGACCAGAACTGATTACACTCATAGCCAAAGAGCAGCCCTTACACATGATACGCCAGAGCTACAGAGGTATATGGGAGATCTTCAGAGAATGGAATAGTGACAACACTGTAATTGGACTCTAGGTTGCTTAAAGACAACGGCATCAGGAAGAAGATTTCCATGACTATTAGGAACAAGAGAAGTGATCTAATCTCAGAGAGATGGGGGAGCACAAGGCGGAGAGCTCAAGGACAGAAGAGAGAGCCCGGGATCCTTGAGCACTGCATGAACAATGCTATCCAGCAGGGGTCATTCTCAGGAAGCAAAACAGCTTGTTTTGCATTTATAACTTAGAATCTGCTCCTAACCTTCCACTAAGCCTCCAGAGACCGGCCTTCCCCGCATGGGGTCTCCCTGCGCTGCGGTGAGTAATCCGCCCCCACACTGTCAGCCGTGGCACGAAGGTTAATCATCAATCTGCCGATGTGCTTGGCACCGGTGGGTGGAAAGCATTCCAAAGTTAAAGAACGGCACACTCCTATTTCCAAGTGATTCAGCACAAAATAAAAAAAAAAAAGACTGGAGACTGTAATTCTCAGCAACCCACCTTCAATGTTTTCACAGCAACCGTAAGGCTGTATTTCTTCCAGACGCCAACATAAACTTCTCCATACTGCCCCCCACCAAGTTTGTGCTTCATGGTAATATCCGTTCGTTCCATTTCCCACTTGTCATGGATGGGGGACACACCATAGACTGTGGGCTTATTGCACTTGGGCGCTGGGTAGTGTAACGTCGTCACCAGCCCGTCGGCCACCGTGGAGTGATGGTGCACGAGTTCGGCCAGGGTGCTAAAGCGGCTCTCAGCAGTGACGTACACCTGGTGAGGCAGGCGGGAGGAAAGCTAAAGCAACTTGAAAAGAGGTCAGAAAACCGTTTTCAAAGCCCATTAATTTCACTGGTCTGAAGATACGAAGATAGGAGGTCACCTTACGGAGGTAAATGAAAGAAGTAAATGATGATGGGAAGGGGAAACACAGAACTTAAGTTTAACCTCTTTACACCACTCTTCCCGGGTTTCCTAAAGAAGCTCGGGGCGGGGGGCGGGGGCGGGGGCACTTCCAAGTTATCTTTCTGGATCATCAAGATCCACCCAAGATCATGGGTCTTCAAATATTTTGAAGCAACAAGACTGTGAAACCCAAATCCCTAAGACAGAGGCAGAGATGCTGATTTAAGTAGGGAAGGGGAGAGACCTGGCCTCTTCTGAAAGGCCATGAAATACCAACTCAGAATCTTGTACAGAACATAACTCGAGAACCACTGGTTTCCATTTTTTTTTGGTAGAAAGAGAGTATTTAAGGATCTTACAATTTTTACTTAATTAGGATGTGCTTTTGAGTAGCTAGGCTATTAAAAAAAGAGCCACAGTTTTATATTCGGGTTGTTAACAAAACGGTAATTTGTGACAAGTAATTAAAGTATAAAAGATGAGCAGTCTTTGAACCCTATCTCCCAAGGGAGCTAGCTTACTGTTTTTTAAAAAAGAAACTTGTGTTGTATACAGAAGAACACATAATACATGCAGAATTGATGATTTTTACAAGGTGAGCTCACCCACATAAACCTCTCCCACACCAAGAATTATAACACTACCAGCACCCTCACAGCTAAGCTATTCCTCCTTCAAAGATAACCACTCTCTGGACTTCTAACACCTTACATTAGCTTTGCCTGCTTCTGAACTTACACAAATGGAATCATACTATGCATTGTTGTGCCTGCCTTTCTTTCATTCCACTTTTCTTTATTGTGATGTAATTCACATACGATAATATCCACCATTTTTAAGTATACAATTCAGTGGCTTTAATACATTCACAAAGTTGTCCAACCATCACCACTATGTAAGTCCAGAACACTTCCCATCAGCCTACAAAGAAACCCCATACCATCAGCAGCCATTCACATTCCCCTCACGCCCAACCCCTGACAATCACTAACTCCTTTCACTCAGCTTTACATGTGTGAGACTCACCTACGAGTGGGTCAACACACTTTCCTGCAGAGGGCCAGAGAGTAAATATTTTAGGCTTGTGGCCATAGTGCCTCTGTCATAACTACTTAAAGCTGCTGTAAGAATGAAGAAGCAGCCATAGACAATACGTAAACAAGCAGGTGTGGCTGTGTTCCAATAAAATTTTACTTATAAAAGCAGGCAACTGGGCGGGCCACAGATTTTTGTCAGAGTGTATACAGCAGGACTACATTCATTTTTTTGTTGTATGAGATTCTATTTTATGAATACACAATTTATTAATTCATTCTGTTGTTAGACAATTAAGTGCTTCTAATTTGGGACTATTACAAATAATGCAACTACAAACATTATGTACATGTCTTCTGTACACATATGCACTCATTTCTGTTGGGTATGTAACCAGAAGCAGAGCTGCTAGGTCCCTCCTACATTATCACTTATCTGATTCTATGTGGTTTCATCAGGAGACAATATGTCTGTAGGGTGATGCAAAAGAGAAACAATTAATAATTATTTCCTACTTTGTAGCAGCCATTATGTTTTAAGGAAATTATTCCATTTAATCCTCATGACGATCCAATAAATTGGGATGAGAAATTGAGGCTTAGAGTAAGGTCACAAAGTTGACAAATATCAATGGTGGAGGTACCCAGCAAACCAGGTCTGCTTGCTCTTGGCAAAGCCTGTGCTTTCCCCTACTATGCATATCACACAGACCAAAAGAACAAAACAAATGACTCAATGTAAATTTACTGTTCAAGAGAACGGACATAAACCTATGCTTCACAGTTTATAAAGTAAAACAGCTCCATTCTAACACAACCACTCTACAATGGTTGGTCTTTCCAACATGTACATTGCTAAATGGCTGATTAATCTATTTATAGTAACATACATTACACATCAATCCCAGTCTCAGAAGCCCAAATGCTTACTCTGTGAACTTTCTGGTAGAGATTATTATAATTTTCAAACATCCAAGGCTTAATTTGTCAATTCTCTACAACATATTGGATGTACCTATATATATCTGTATACTGATGACTATCAGAACTGCTAACTTATATAGCAGTTACCTTCATCACCTTCAAATCTACCTCATCATTAAACTATTAATGCAATACTGTTTTTAATTCCCATTACCATATTCTTTTGGAAAGAGTAAGCTTTCACATGCCAAATGGCCCAAATTCACATCAGTGATTATTTTATTTCATGTCTGACAGAAAAACCATATTCTTTAGTCATTCTGAGTATTTTTTCTAAAGAAGAGCCAGTCCACACCTACAGGCGGTGCTGGCCAGTCTTACCTTGCCATCTGTGGTGGTATTGATCCTGTAGTGATACACACGCCCCTCGTACCTGAGCGAGATTGACAGCTGCCCGGGGCTGCTCTCGCTTTCTCGCACCAGGAAACTGCCATTGATTAGACTGCTGAGTAGGTACTCTGCTGCACTGCGTGACACGGGTCCATGGTACCAGGAATGTTTCTCCAAGCTGTTCACTGGGGTGATGTAGTTGCTTGGCACCCAACCTTGTCCATTCTTGGAGCGAACTTCACTCCACTCACCATTCTGGTTATAACCAAGGACTCGCAGCTTTTCACCTAGCCAGGAAGTCATCAGAGTCTTAAGAGAAGATGTTAGGGTTTTACCTCAAGCAGCAGCAGTCTGTTGTCAAACTCAGAACCCAGTGAAAAATCAATCACAAACTCTTATGGCAACATTTTTTTAAAAAACAATGAAAACAAACTTGGCTGTTCATCATATCCTGATTGATCACTTTAGCCTGTAGCTTAAACAGAAGCAGCCTAGTTAGAAATAACCTTCTGGCATTTACTAATGGTTTTTACACCAACTAAAAAAATGTCTTTAGGAAACTCCATATGTGTTATAGTACGGTGGCATACAAAGATGGAAAGGTTATGAACCCATAAATACAAAGACAATGATGGTTGCCAGAGGGGAGAGGGTGGGGCAATGGGCAAAATGGGTTAAGGGGAGTAGGAGATACAGGCTTAAATCCCTTTAGAGAATGAATAAATCACCAAGATAAAAAGTATAGCAGCATAGGGAATATAGTTGATGGCATTATAACAGCATTGTGTGGTGACAGATGGTAGCTACACTTGAAGTGAGCACAGCATAACGTATAGAGTAAATCACTATGTTGTATACCTGGGAGTAATGTAATCTTGTGTGTCGACTATACTTCAGTTAAAAAAAAGACAGAAAGGTTATTCTGGAAAATGACACAGTCTCACCCCTCAAAAAAAATTCATTTTTTTTCTCATAACAGTTTGTCAAGGAATATATCTTATATATATGGTTCAATGTTAATAACAATCAAGGTTTAGGGATAAGAAATATGAAATACAAAGTTACTTCTAAATTTCAGTTGGCACCGAGTCCAAAAAACCATTTATGTAAAAAACAAAAAAATAAACAAGAAAACAAAACAAAATAGAAGCACAGATCATGCTTTCAGAAAGAAAACTGCCTGGGGGGCAGGCAAGTAGAACTCCCAAAGCACATTCCAGGACTCAAGTTTTAACAGTTATAGTTTCCCAACTTCCCTCCCATTCCCCATGAAGATGAGTCAGTCCTATTCATTCCTCTAAAATTAGTATGTGGGAAGGGAAGCTGACACTGAAGCTGGAACCCAAGACAAGTTACTCAGAATGTCTTTGCTTGCTATCAACGTCAATGTCCTTGATCTCTCTGTTAAAGTTGTGAACACCAACTTTAAACTCCCTAATATACATTTTGCCCCTAAACTTGCAACTCAGACAAAACAGGAAAGGATAAGAGATATCATTAGTAACAACTAATAACCTAAAGAAACGCTGTAAGGCCTTAGGCCCTTATCTCTGAGAGATGCACGCCTTCCTACAGAGTTCACACCTACTTCTCAGTGTCAGCAGAAGAAAACCAAACCAATTAAAAGCACATGGCCCACTAGTTATCAGGCAAAGGCCACTGAGGAAAAGCTCAAAATCATTATTCTGGCAGTCATCAAACTTTTCCAGCAACCCACAGAAATGTTTACCAGTGGGAGCTGATAAAGTTACCCTACATCTCACATTGACACCTGGATGTGAGACATTCAGTGACAAAAACCTAGGAGTATGTACTCATAAAATACAAGTATGTACAGATGGATAGATAGGTGTGTGTGTGGTGTGGTTGCGGAAATGTACCAGTGCACAGATAAATACTCCCCAGCCATATCTGCAGGAAAACAAAAACAAAAAACTCAGTGCTACTAGAAAAGCTAAGTAAAACTTGTTCCTCTGTAGCTTTTCTCTATTGTACCACAAGAACTAGAAAAAATAGACATCAAGTATATCATTGTTGCTTCCTTACAAATAATTGGTAATGGCAGGTCATCATAAGTAGGATACAGTCAAAAACCCCAGGTTTTTGTTTGTTTTCCTCCCTTTGGAAGTTAGGAGGAGAATTTCCTACTCTGGAAGTTGTGAGTACCATGGAAATTGACAAGGGTATGACTAATGGGATGTACTGACAAAGAAATGTTGGGAGAACTCTGTTTTGTAATTCAAGCAAAAAACAATCTCAAAGAAGGAACTAAAATAAGTATCATTATTTTTCAAATATATTTTCTTGTCCTTTAAAATAATAAAATAGCTTTAGCATGCCATCATTTTTTTTTAAGATTTTATTTATTTGAGAGAGAGTGAGAGAGAGCATGAGAGTGGAGAGGGTCAGAGGGAGAAGCAGACTCCCCGCCGAGCAGGGAGCCCGATGTGGGACTCGATCCCGGGACTCCGGGATCATGACCTGAGCCGAAGGCAGTCGCTTAACCAACTGAGCCACCCAGGCGCCCGCATGACATCATTTTATATCAATAAGAACCTGATAGAAAAATCTGACATTTCATGGGGTTTAAGACAAATCACTGTTCGCCATGAGAGAACAAGAATTCCAGCCCTTGAGCTGCACACTAGCAGTTGCCACAACTGGTAACTAAGGTATCAACAGACTGTCTTTATCGATGTTTCCTTGGTGACGGAGCTATCTTGGAAAATGGTGACATGAAAAGCATATCTAGGAAAGAATGTACTGAGTCACTGCTTCACAAACTTCTCCACTAAAGTATTGATAAAGGTCAAAGAGTGTGTTGTAGCCCAAAGAGACTACTTACACAGTATAAAATTCTTTGAAATCCTGTTTTATCCTAATACTTTGTGTAAAATTTTCCCTCAATGCATAAACCTCACACACATACAAATACTACCACCACCCCCCCCCCTGCAAAACCACCCAAAGTCTTCAAGTAACTTGACACTAGGAGATCACACACATTACTTTTTCTACGCCTTTGACACCTCCTGGCATAGGTTTATGTATGTGCCTCACACCCACTATGGAACACAGCTCTACCCCAGTTTGAGTTACAGGTTTCTGCTCTTGATTAATGTGGCTGGATTTAAAAAATAGATGCATATAAAAATTTTATAAAAGGGTAACATTCCCTGAATGGAGGCCTATCTTAATTTGGTATATTCACTCCCATTTAATACCTCATTCTGAACCTTACAAAAAAAAAAAAAAAAAAAGGCGTATGTTTGACAAATTATCATTTAAATTACAATTTCACTTAAGTTAAAAATTATCCTGAAATAGGAGGAGGCTTTCATAGGTTCAAAAGAACAAGCTTAGGCAGATTAGCAATCCAATTCAAGGACACAATGAGAATGTCCCATGCTGCTTTCTTTCATTTTTTTTTTTTTTTAAAGTAATCTCTACACCCAATGAGGGGCTCAAACTCATGACCCCAAGATCAAGAGTCTCACACACTACCGACTGAGCCAGCCAGGACCCTTTCTCATAAAAGTTCCACATTTTCTTTGTTCAAAAAACTAATAACGGATGATTTTACTTGGTCATGTTCTTAGTCCTCCCTTTTATAAGAATTTTCTACTGAAATAAACTACTACTCTCTTGAGAGCATTAGTACAATAGAAACCCTTCCTATGACTCCTTTCACTAACCCATTTAAACAGAGATGAGAGATCTGTCTCAGCCAATGCTACTCAAAGCAGGTCCACAATAAGACACGACATTGTGCCAGAATATGAAATCACTGGACTACTTTCTTCTTGTTGAAAGTCTTGCTCCAAAAAAAAGAAAATGTCAGCTGAACTAAACAGTAAGTACTATGCTTAGTGATGTAGTCAGTTTACCTATGGGGAACAAGTACTTAATCTTAACAATGAGGACCGGTAACGAACTGTTCTCAGACAGGCAGTCAGCTCAGGGACAACACTGAGTAGCACCCGGCTCTGGCAACATGACTCATCTTAGCCACAGCTCCATGAGAAGAGATGTACAGTAAACCTTACTGTCACATAAGACGAATGCTGGCATATTACAGAGAGTACCGAATCCTGAGAATGAGAAAAGTTTGTGTATATACCGTGTGGTGCTTTTTCTAAAGTACTTTATCTCCTCTTACCCTTAATAAGCCCTAGAAAGGAGACAAACTAACACTATCCCATACACAGGAAACCAAGATAATGAACCCCCAAGTATGTGGGCCCAAATCACCTAATTTTAGTCAGAGCCAGAATCTAGAAGAGACCCCTTTATTTCGGAAGCACTAATGAAAACTGAGAAGTGGGGCTCCTGGGTGGCTCAGTCGTTAAGCGTCTGCCTTCGGCTCAGGTCATGATCCCAGGGTCCTGGGATCGAGTCCCACATCGGGCTCCCTGCTCAGGGGGAAGCCTGCTTCTCCCTCTCCCACTCCCCCTGCTTGTGTTCCTACTCTCGCTATGTCTCTCTCTGTCAAATAAATAAATAAAAAATCTTTAAAAAAAAAAAGAAAAGAAAAGAAAACTGAGAAGTGAAGCTCACCTTTAGTGATGCTGAGTGTGTTATCGCCACTGGCTACAAAATCGTAAAGTGCAACAAAGAGATTAGGGTCGCTCTCAGCGGCTCCAAGTAAGTTCTCCTTGGAGCTCCACCTGATGGCTTCGTTCAGTGCCTGGGGTTCAACATCACAACCGTAGGGGCGGTGCAAGGCTTCTGAAAGACATAGAGAGAGAAAGGAACTCACGGTACGTTCAACAGTTAAAAATTCACTTGAATTCAGTACGGACATCGTATTCTAGCTGCTGGCACGTATACACCGACGGCTCCAGAGTGGAGAGAACTGTACAGTATGGAGCCATGAAGAATGAGCAAACGGCACTGTCTCCTAAGCTTCAGAGAAGTCTACTTGTTGAAAATGTAACAAGACAGAGAAGAGATCACAAAATGAGCATTTAGCCGTGATTTATATGTACTCATGAAAATCAGAAATAGAAAAAGCAGTTTTCTCAAAATGGAAAAAAAAAACCTCAAAAAATGGCAATTCGTTTTATAAAACATATAGGCTATTTTGTGGTGGTGGTGGTGGTTTTAAGCTCTGTTTTCTAAGTCCTCCCAAACTACCCTTCTTCCCTGACTCTCTCCACATAAAACAAACTGTGGAAAAGAAACAGAGACTTTAAGAAATATGTATATATTGCATAAATCCAGATCCTCCACTTACATATAGAAAAATTATAGAAACAGGGCTTTCAGAAAAAAACAAAAATACTAAAATTATCTGTTAAACAACAGAAAAATGTTTTGGCTTTATACAAATATTCTTGGCACTCCAAAATACCTTTGTATTACTATGCACTGTCTAGAATGTAACAGCTTCCAACTGTTGTTTTTAAAAGTTTTTACCTTATTTTCTTTTCCTAGGTGGTACATTTTTGTAAGTATCTTGAGAACGTAATTGAAGGCTCTAGAAAATATCACCAACAATAGCCATTTGAGTATCTATCATGTGTAAGGGTTGAAGCCTTGTAAGACCTGGTTTTTTCCTTAAGGCTTTATGGGTTCCTAAATTTAGTCACACTACACAAAATGGGTGACCCCTATAAAAATCACCTGCTTCTTGCAGTCCAGGTCACTTACACAAAAAATACACTGTGTCTTCAGTAGTGATTTGCTCGATCACAGAAACTGTTTATAGCGGCTGTCTGCCACTCTCCAACTACCTATTGTGACGTAACAACACTTTTCTAGCATCTCTCTCTCTCCTCCCTCCCCACTCATTCTTAATTTAAAATTGACTATTATATCTGAAGGAGAAAAACCCTTGAATCTGTGGTTTTATTTCTTTTCAACCCCACCCCCTCCTCTCCATCTCTACTGCCAATGCCTCAGATCCGATCCCCACCATCTCTCACCTGGACTACTGCCTCCAGTCTTGTCTCCCTCAAAGCCATCCTCCACACAGCTGGCAAAGTGATCTATTTAAAACAAAAATTTGACCAGGTCACTCTTCTTAAGATTCTTTAATAGTTCACCATCAAGCTAAAATCTCTTTAATGGCCTTCAAGGTCTTTTCTAATCAGGTCTCTCTACCTACTTCTCCTGCTTACATTTCCCCACTCCAAACTTCAAATTCTAAACTTTAACATACACCATGCTTCCTGCTTTTTTGTGCCTTTGTTCACATAGTCCTGGCTACATAGGATGTGATCTCATCCCACCCTTCTTTTGACTGGCTCACTTCTCCTCATTTTATAATACTCAGCTCCAACGTACCCTCCCCTAGGAAGCCTCACATCCTCCCTACTACCTGTATACACTTGCTGCATTTGGACCCTCTATCTTTATCTTTACAACATCCTCAACTGATGTTTATTTCCCAAACTTTACAATACACTCCTTAGCATGAGAACTGTACCTTTTTTCTAGCAAGAGTTACATACTATGTGTTCAGTAACTGTTGACTGAATGACCAAATTATACAAAAATATAAGTGATGGGAAACAGTGAGATGTATTTTAATCTTAAAACAGCATTAACCAATGTTTTAAAAATGGCTTCATAATGGTCTACAGAAATTCCTGCAGTAGGTTGGATTGTAATTTTCCTAATAGTTTTAGAGTTCACTTCATCACATTCCTTCCTCCTCTTAAAAGGAATGTATCTTTATAATTTCAGAGCTAATTTTGCTTCCCATTAAGAATATTATGACAGGAGCGCCTGGGTGGCTCAGTCGGTTAAGCGGCTGCCTTCGGCTCAGGTCATGATCCCAGGGTCCTGGGATCGAGCCCCATGTCGGGCTCCTTCCTCAGTGGGGAGCCTGCTTCTCCCTCTCCCTCTGCTTGCCACTCCACCTGCTTGTGCTCTCCCTCTATCTCTATCAAATAAATAAATAAAATTTTTAAAAATATATATATATTATGACAAATCTGAAGGTATGCCCAGATGCCCTGAAAAGTTAATATGAATCAGATGTATTGCTCCTTGTTTAAATGCAGTTACAAGGAATGGAAACAGCTGTATTATGTACTAAGATAACTAATTAGGATTACCAAACAAAACACCATATTCTATGATACATCCTTCAAACAAGTCACATGTACTATGTTTCTCTTTATGCTTGAGAAAGTATCCACTCAGAATTTCCATGGGGCTACAAAATGCCAATCCTTTATTAAAATGAAAAGAACTGCCAAAAAAGTATAGAGAATATTTTCATACTTATTAGATTCTATGCTGAATATCACATGATCCTCACTAATGTTTCTTGCCAATGATGGTGTTAACATTATAATGTTTGATAACATTATAATGTTTGATAACAGTTCAAGTACATGTTCTTCTTTTTGGACAGAAGTCCCCCTTGTTTGAGATTATAAGAGGAACAAAAATCAAGGGTAACAAGAATTCCTGTACTATCAATAATGAAGTTAGAAACAATAATTAAGTATGGGGATTAACATTAGAATAAAAAAAAAAAGTAAAAAAAAAATAAAAAAAATAAAACGGAAAAAAAAAAAAAAAAAAGAAACAATAATTAAGCAGATACTGAAACTAACTCTTAAATCCTAGCAGGCCAAAACCAGCAAATGCCATACAATTATACCTTACTTTGCGAAACCCAATATATAAACACTTAAGGTTTACAAAACTAATAATTTTAGTGAACATCTACTATACGTCATGCTGAGCTTCAGAATATAAAGATTATAAATCACCAATAACACTATTTGGACTTAGAAAAAAACACTCTCCGTTCTTTCCCCAAATCTGCTTCTCCCCCAGAATTTCCCATCTCAGAGGCAATTTCTTCTTATCAGCTGCTCAGGCCAAAAACCTTGAAGTTTGAATACAAACTTCTAGCTATAAGATGAGTAAGTTCTGGGCAACTAACATATAGCACAGTGATTATAATTAATAATACTGTATTATCTACTTGAAAGTTGCTAAGAGAATAGATACTAAATGTTCTCACCACAAAAAAAGAAATAATTATGTGATGTGATACAGGTATTAGCTAATGCTGTGGTGGTAATCACTATGCAATATGCAACTATCAAATTGACACACTGTACACCTTAAACTTACAAAATTAATATGTCAATCAGATCAATAAAACTGGGGGGGAGGGGAACACAAAAGGAAAAACCTTGGAATCACTCAGGACTCCTTTTTTGCATCCAATCCATAAGGAAACCCTCTTGGCACTGCCTTCAAAAACATACCCAGAATCTATCTGCTTCTCACTCCCTCTACTACAACTACTACCCTGTTACCACCATCATCTCTCTCCTGGGTTTTACCACACTCCTGATTTCCACACGTCAAGCCTTGTTCTCTATTCTCAACACTCCAGCCAGTTTTTAAAGCATAAGTCAGATTGTGTTACTCCTCCACGGCAAACTCTGGTTCCCTACCTTAAAGAGCAAAAGCCTTATGAGAGCCTGCGAGGCTCTTCACAGCTTGTCTTGCCCATACCTGCCTATACTCCCTCCCCCAGTTTACCTCATTCTGGACACTGGCCTCCCTGCTATTACTTGAACAAGGCAGGCACCCTTCTGCCTCAGGACTTTTGTACTGGCTATTTCTTCTGTCTAAAAAATTCCTCCCCCAAGACATTCACTTCACTCAAATGTGACCCTCTTGGTACAGCATTCTCTGACTCTCCTATTTTAAATTGGGGCTATTCCTGACAACACTCCCACCTCCCGCCATGTCTCCTTCCCTATGTTCTCTCCATAGCTCTTATTACCACAAACGATATAATTTACATATTATATTTATATATACTATCTAACTCCCCCCAACTAGAATATCAATTTTATGAGGACAAGGATTTTTGCCTGCTTTGTTCACTGATAAATTCCAAGCACTCAGAATAGTGCATGTATATAAGAGTCTCTCAAAAAGCAATGAATCTTGTGTACTCTTATACTCACATGCTGTACCGCTATGAGAGGACAGAACAGAAAACAAAACTCTGGATCAAAAAAGGTTTCAGAGAAGAGAAGGCATTTAAATTAGATGAGCAGGAATTGTGCACTGATGACAGAGTGACAGGCTGTCAACGTGCAAGGACATGTCTACGACATGCGATTCATCTGTATGGAGACAAGCTCCATCAGCTCAAGGGAGGTTTGTTAAAGGCAAGTTCAGCTTCTTAAAAACCACGTTATTTGAAAAAAGGCAAAGAGCACAATTTGATGTAAACTTAAAAAGATGTATATAGGCCAAACAATACTGTACATTTCTCAAATATACAAAATAACAAATACAGGATAAAAGCAATTTTTGAGGCCAAAGTACTAAAAGAACCATGACTTGGAAAACAATCCTTTTTATTCCCCACTCCCTGTCTTCCCATTCCTGCTTCTATGATCTTTTTGGTCAAGTCAACGATCTTATTTCCTTCCTTTCTTCTTTTTTCCCACTCATGCTTTTGTTCTCAGAGAACTAAGGGTCAATTTCCTGTACAATCCGTCTGCACAGGATATCCACTTAAACACCATCCTATCCTCTAGCACCAAACAAAAGGGAAATGTTTCAAAGACAAAAAACAGCATAACATTTTCCTGAGGCCAAGAATGAACATGTATTAAATCATAAAGAATTGAAGAACTAAATGCAGAAGAACAAGCTAAGGAATAAAGGCAAAAAAAAAAAAAAGCCTATAGGAAGGGCAAGTAAATGTCACAGTGTTATCCAGTGGGTCTAATCTATGCCACTTTCCTCATCAGCTTAAAACAGACACAGCTGGATGATTCAAATGTACTGTACCCGCACAAATGCAAGTGTGAAGGCTGGGAATGGGTTTTTATGAACAATGTGAAGTGACTACTATATATTCGGTGCCTTAGTGGGTTAGTCTTTCATTAAACGCTGTTACTGAGGTAGATCATGGACTTGAGACAACAGAAGACTTGATTTTCACTTATGTAACACAGGACCCAGGTAACAGAAATATGACTATTAATTAAAGGCAATTTTATTACTTTTCTTCTGATAGACTTGCAAAAGACAATAAAAATAAGGCAAAACATAGAGATAGTTTGTACAAAGTATATTATCAGGATTAAACAAGTTAAAATCCTGAATAAGACTCAGACTCAAATCCAGAGATAACTCCTAAATTTAATGTTTAATTTTATTAAAAAACATTGTCACCAATTAGTCATTCAATAACTTTTATCATTTTAATTAGAAATTTGTCAGGTAAGTAACTGGAGAAATAAATTAAAAATTTTTTCAGTTGAGGCATTCATTTCCAAGCATTTTACAAATCCTTATCTTGCCCAAATTCTACTTTATCTGATTGCTTATTCTCTAAGAAACTACCACTTTTTAATACCTCTTTTAAAAACTATGTAAAGTGGTTGGATAAATCATTCAACAGTTCTCAATACAGCTTAAGTTCTTCATATCAAGCCATATATACCTTAACACCACAAAATATTACCTATTATTCACTTGTTCTTTCTTTCAGTAAGTTCTTCCTGAGATCCTACTATGAAATACCAGAAACAAAGCACATAAAACTTCACTGGCCAACAATGAGGACAGTAACGGAGAGAATTTTTCTGAAATCTCCATTCACGCTTGACTGCTGTGATTATCTACCCTCCCCCAACCTATCACCTCCGAACCATACCTGTCAAGTTGGGTACAGCAGTGTCTGAGGCCTCACTACTACACAGGCAGCAAAGCGACGATGTGTCCTGATCTCTGCCATAACTATTAGGCGGAAGCAGGACTGTTCCAAGGACCATTCCTCTGCCCAGAAGCACAAAAGTTAAACTGTTCTGTGTAGAGAAGTCTTAGAATTCCACTCCCTGACAAGCAATGCCACATGCATGTGGTGTTTACTCATGTACTCAGTGGCCACAGGGAACCAATAGGAGGGTAAGCATTTACAAGTCCCCAAGTGGGTGGAGTAACCTAAAGGAAAACGTCTAGTAATCAGCAAAGACTGAGTCAGAACAGGGTTATTCAGAACAATCTCTGGGAATGTTTTGAAAAAATAAGTAAAATAAAAAGCAACACACGTAAGAGTCACAAATAATAAAGTATGTAGGGATCAGTCAGTACATATTGATGGGATTTTGTTCCTAAATGGATGATGAAGTAAGCCTGTAGAGAAAAGTTTCCTTGGAGAAAACCTGTTTACAATAAAACACCAAATACACTTTTAAAAAGAGGAAACGCCCTAAGGAGACTCATCTTTTGCATCACTTAAATTAGCTCAAGTAACCACAAATCCAAAGTCAAAGAAATAGTTACAATTTGATTCATGAGCACAGAAGCCAGGAAATAACTGCCTTCACTAACATTTTGGCTCTACAGCTTAATACAGTTAAAAATATGGCATAAAAAAAAATACGGCATGATTACGACAACATGGATTGACCTAGAGGGTATTATGCTAAGTGAAATTAGTCAGACTGAGAAAGACAAATACCATATGATTTCCCTTAAATGTGAAATCTAAAAAACAAAACAAACGAATAAACAAACAAAAAGCAAAAACAGACCTATACAGAGAACCGATGGCTGTAGGGGTGATGGGTGGGCAATACAAGTTTCCAGTTACGCAATAAATAAGTCACAGGGATGAAAGGTACAGTGTAGGGAATACAGTCAATGTCACTGTGCTAGCACTGTGTGGTGACAGATAACTACACTTGTGGGGGGCACAGCATAGCATATAAACTTGTTCAATCACTATGTATACACCTGTAACTAATGCAACATTGTGTCAATTAGACTTCAATTTAAAAAATAAAATTTTAGGGGTGCAGCTGGCTCAGCTGCAAGAGCATGTGACTTTTTTTTTTTTTAAGATTTATTTATCCATTAGAGAGAGAGAGCATGAGCAGGAGGGGCAGAGGGAATCTCAAGCCGACTCCTTGCCAAGCGCAGAGCTGGACACAGGGCTTTATCTCACGACCCTGACTGACATCAAGGTCCCTGAGCTGAAAACAAGAGTCTGACGCTTAACCGACTGCACCACCCAGGTGCCCCAAAAGAGTGTGCAACTCTTGATTTCAGGTGGTGAGTTTGAGCCCACATTGGGTGTAGAGATTACTTAAATAAACTTAAGATTAAAATAAAAATAAATTTTTAAAAATAAATAAAAACATGGTATGACAGTGTTGAAAACTTCTGAATGTTAAAACTTTTAAAAGCAAATCTTTACTAATACATAGGAACAACGTTAAATAAAATGTAAAAATCTGAAGATGAGAGTACCTTATTGAGAATTAAACTAATAAAATCTGCAAATAATACACTAAGTTATTTAGTGGTATTATCTACCAAAATAACACAAGAATGTTTCTAACTGGGCGCCTGGGTGGCTCAGTCAGTTAAGCATCTGCCTTCAGCTCAAGTCATGATCCCAGGATTCTGGGATCAAGTCCCACATCAGGCTCCTTGCTCAGCCAGGAGTCTGCTTCTCCTTCTCCCTCTGCCTCTCGCCCCTGCTCGTGTTCACTCTCTACGTCTCTCTCAAATAAATAAAATCTTAAAAGAAATACTTCTAACTGTCCAGCTAAGAACACTCACTGATCAATATTTAATAAGCACCTACTATTACCAGCCACTGTGCTATGTTTCAGGTCCATAAAGGAAACAGGATAAAATTATAATATACCAGGACTGAAAAAGCCTTCGGTAAAGTTGAAACAAAATTATAACGTAACCTTAGAGAAAAAGAATGCCTCTGACGTAGGTAATTATTAATAGCTTAAAAAAAACAAAGCTCATACTTTCAATGAAATTAACCTTTTATAAAGCCAGTACTGTTAACATCATGGGAAAAGCAAGAGTTAAATGACTAATGGTTACCTCAATTAATGATTCAGTGTTTCAAATACCAGGCTGAATTTCCCCTTCCCTAGATAATCTTTAAAAATATAACGGAAAGGAGCTCCATAATCCATATTCTATACATACCTATATTCCATACCATATAATTTACTAGTCAGTAAATCTGCTCTTCAAATTACCAATTAATAGTTACAAATCAGAAAACTATAAAAATTAAGACACTACAAAAGGATAATATTATAGAAAATAAATATTTTTGTGATTCTATGCTGCTTATAACGATCTAAACCATCTAATAGCTTTTAAACACTTTAAAGAATAAAATGAAAAAGAATGCAGGTAGGGGGTGCCTGGGTGGCTCAGTTGGTTAAGCGACTACCTTCGGCTCAGGTCATGATCCTGGAGTCCCGGGATCACGTCCCGCATGGGCTCCTTGCTCAGCGGAGAGTCTGCTTCTCCCTCTGACCCTCCCCCCTCTCGTGCTCTCTCTCAAATAAAATCTTAAAAGAAAAAAAATGCACGTAAAACTGATCACCGAAAATTGATATGTTTGAAACCTAAGAAGATTGAACTCAACACTATTAGAAAGACACATTTTTTAAATTGTTTTCCGTTTATAAAAGTGACACGTGTTCATTATAGAAAATTTGGAAACTATAAATAAAAAGACAACACATCACCCACTTCTACAGCCCCATTTGTTATATTATTAAAATAACACTGATACCTTTGCATTTAGCCCTTTTAATCTGCATAATGTTTCATTCATTCAGCCAATATTTCTTGAGTGGCTAGTATGTGCAAAAAGCACTTCACTAGGCAGGAAATATGAGGTGCTAGGCAAGAAATAAAGTCCATAAGAGATGAAGATAACGGGTTAGGGAGGAATTTCACTACTTTAAAGAAGGTGAGGGGCGCCTGGGTGGCTCAGTCAGTTAAGGGTCTGCCTTTAGCTCAGGTCATGATTCCCAGGGTCCTGGGATCAAGCCCCTTGTCAGGCTCCCTGCTCTTGCTTCTCCTTCTCCCTCTGCCCCTCTCCCTTTGCCCCTCCCCTGCTCATTCTCTCTCTCTCTCTCAAATAAACAAAAATCAAGAAGAAAGAAAGAAGGAAAAAGAAGATGGTGACACTTAAGCAAACGCCAAAAGCAAAAGAAGAATCTAAGCAGGGATAATGTAGCAAGTGCAAAAATCTGAAAGCAGGAAAGAACTTACTTGCCATGCAGAGGAAAATGCAAAGTGTGGCTGTAACTGAGAAAGTCAGAAGAGAAGCATGAAAAGAAGTTAGTAAGACCATCCTGACAGTCAGACCAAGCCCATAAAAATTTAGGATTCTTTTCCATGTACAATGGAAACCCATGAACAGTTTTAAGGATAGAGATCATATGTTCCAACTCCCATTTTGTAAAAGACCACTCTGGCTACAGGGTGAAAAAAAAATGGATTAGATAAGAAACAAAATTAGAAACAGGGAGATATGTAGCAGTTCAGGAATGGGTTCAGGTTGGCTTCGGAAAGAATGGTGTCATAAAGACAAAAGTTGAAGAACTTAAAAATCCGGTTTACAGATGGAACTGACAGAGCTTGCAGATTACTTGGATATAAAATAAGAAGAGACAGGGTAAAAATAAAGAATGGCTGCCAAGCTGCAGGCTTGAGTGAATGGGCAGACGGCCATGTAGTTCACTCAAAAGCAACAGCAGTATAAATCAAAAGTTCCACTGTAGACAAGTAAATGTGAGGGAGATAATTAAACACCTTGATATATAAATCTGTAGCTCAGAGAAGATCCTGGGCTGCAGACATCAGCATATAGACGGTATCTAAAACCATGCATCTGGATGAGATTACTTAGGGAGACTAGAGTTAGATGAAAGTGCAGGATCATGCTTATTGGAGAACCATGACTGGAATTCTACAGATTTCTCGTCTGAAACCATGGAGGCTAGAAAGAAGTGAAAAAACATTAAGTGCTTAGAGAAAAAACCGTCAACCCAAAATTCTATGTCCACAGAAAATATCCTTCAGAAATGAAAATGAAATAAAGACATCCTCAGTTAAGGGAAGAACTTGTTGTCAGTAGATCTGCTCTAAAAGAATTCAATTTAGACATAATGGAAATTTTGGAACATTAGGAATAAAAGAAATAATGATGGTAAACAACAGACTATTGAGTTCTTAATATATGATAGTTGAAAGCATACAGTGTAACGCCATCTGTAGGGACTTCTCAATGCATGTAGATATAATATATGACAACTATGTAACACAGTGAAAAGAAGAATCTGTAAGAGGGCAAGGTTCCCATATTTCACCTGAGGTGGCAAAATACTGAATCTAAGTAGTGTGAAAAGTTCAATATGTATATTGAAATCCCTACAGCAACCACAGGAAAACCTATACAAAGAAATACAGCCAGGGACACCTGGGTGGCTCAGTCAGTTAAGCGTCTGACTTTAGCTCGGGTCATGATCCTGGGGTCCTGGGATCGAGCCCCGTATCAGGCTCCCTGCTAGGAGGGGAGTCTGTTTGTCCCTCTCCCCCAGCTCATGCTCTCTCTCTCTCCCTTAAATAAATACAATCTTTAAAAAAAGAAAAAAAAAGAAATATAGCCAGAAACAACAGATAAGTGACTATGAATATTAAAAAGACACGTTAATAATCCAAGAGAAAGCAGGAAAGGGAAAGAGAAGAAATAACAGAAAAATAATATGGTAGACCTAAATCCAAACATATCAATGGTTAACATTAAATGAAAATGACCTAAATATAATTATAAGCTAGTTTGTCATAATAGATATGTATGATCCAACTATAGGCTATCTAAAAGAAACTCACTTCAAGTATAACCATAGAAGTAGGTTAAAAATAAAAGGACGAAAACTTATGTCCACAGAAAAACCTGTGTATGAACCTTCATAGCATTATTAATAATAGCCAAAAGTGGAAACAACTGAAATGTCCCATCAATTAATAAGTGGATAAATAAAACAGCTCAGCAATAAAAAGGAAGTACTAAAACATGTTATAACATAGATGAACCTTGAAAACATGCCAAATGAAAGAAGCCAGTCAAAATGAACACATGTTGGTGTGATTCCATTTAGATGAAAGGTCTAGAATTGGTAAATCCGTAGAGACAAAGTAGATTAGTGGTAGCCTAGGGTCGGGATGTGAGGAGGAATATGGAATGATTGCTAATGGCTATGGGGTTTCTTTTTGGGGTGATGAAATATAAGAGTAGACTGTACTGATGGTTGAAGAACTTTAAATACACTAAAACCACTGAATCATACACTTTAAATGGGTGAATTTTATATGTGGATTTAAACATTAGCATTAAAAAACATTATGCTATGTGAAAAAGGCCAGATTTAAAGTCTACATATTGCATGATTCCATTCATATGAAATACTCAAAAGAGCATGTATATAGAGACAGAAAGCAAATTAGTGGTTACCTAACTGGGGTAGGAATGCCAACTGACTATAAAATAGTACAAGGAACCTTTTGGGTGATGGAAATGCTTTAAAACTGGATTGTGGTAAGGGTTACACAACTATGTACATTTTTAAAAAATTATGTATCTTTTAAAACTTAAGTTTTAGGAAATATAAATCATAGCTCAATAAAGCTATTTTTCTTAAAGCACAAAAGGTAAAAAACAAAAAGCAAAATCAGACTTTTGTTCTCTGAAAGATATTGTTAAGAATCAAATGATAAGCCATAGACAGGAGAAAATATCTGCAAGTTATATGTCTGACAAAGGATATAGATCCAGAATATATCAAGAACTCTCAAACTCAACAGTATGAAAACAAACCACTCAATTAAAAAATGGATAAAAATTCTCTTCAACAAAGATAATACAGGAATGACAA